CAAGTCGGCTTTGATCTTTGCCGTGTGATGGACGCTTAGCATCGGCTCACGCTTAGCGATCGTGAATTAACGGAACAAAGCAGTGCCCTGGTCTCTGGGTACGAAGTCATCGTCAGTCTGAAAACCGTCTGGCACGTAGGTATTTATCTAAGGGGATGTGTACCTATGTAATCTACTTGAGAATAGAATCGCATCAGCTTAGCATGTGTTGTTTGATGGATGAGAACTGGATGACATTTCTTTGCATAGCCGGCTCAAGTTTCCATGGGAACATGTCCAAGAAACAACGGAGGAATTTCTCGGTAACAGATATTTATATTCGTCTTGGAGACAGCAGTGGTTGCATATTTTAAAGCAGGTGGCCAGCGTTTTAATCCGACCTGTCTTGTTTGTATTCTGACAGTCGCTGGCCACGACAGGACGAATTCTGTCCAATTTTACGCTGAATTAGCTGACATTTGTCAGTTTTGAGTTCTGGTTCGGAAAGCACATGATGAAAACAAGACAAGTTAATTAGTTCTCATAAACACCTGTTTTTACCAGCAGTGATCGGCTCAGTCATTCTGACTCTTACATTCTCGAGTGGTCCGTCATCTCGGTGAGCTACAGGACGTGAGTCATTTAGCCTGTCAACTATTCCCCCACGCATACACAAGTGGAAAATTACACCGTGCGCGGCCCATTTGTGCGCCGCGGCTCTGCGCCGTTCGCCGGCGATCCGGACCAGACTCCTCGCGCTGCGTGCACGCACAGTCCTCTGGAGCCGCCGAGAACGATCGAGAAGCGGTTGCGAAATAGACAGCAAAAACAAGAATGCCGTCTTCCTGCTGGGTGCCGCTGCACTGTCGTAATCACGGGCCCGGTGAGTCAGTCTGTGAGCGCGGCCTCTGGGTCAGAGGAACAGACTGAGAGCTGCGCCACTCAGGGTTACTGTCCAGACTGGCGGTCTGCCAGAATTGGTACCCTTCTCCGTAATGCAGACTCGCACAAATGCAGATTTGGTGGAAGCGCTGAGCTAGGCTGGCTGGAGACAATGGTACGCAAAATCGGGACCGTGGCTGACTGCTCACAATTTCGGGAATGCGTGATGAATCCTATTGAAATGGCTGCCGATCGAGACTGAATCTGAGCCGATTTCGTCGGCCACAGTCGCACATTTACATAATTCAGTATCGATGACTTATATAAATCATTCTGAGACCAGAATCTACCATATGTTTTTGATCGTATTCGCAATGAAAAAGAGCAATGATGTTTTGGAATAAGCAAGATGATCATGTTACGAAGGATGGCCTTATGATGATTATGATTACAACAGTCAATGATTACAATGACTGTTCCAATGTTTATAGGATACGTCAGTCACTTCTGACACAAGTTAGAACCTCCTTATAGGCTTACATAATGCTTAACATGAAACACATTTTACGTCTTTGTCATATTGTGTGGTGATGTTTGTCACAAGCTATCATTTTCAGTGCATTGTATAAGTGCAGTTCATAATTCTCATAAGTTCAGTGCATTTCAGTGCATAATACTTTTCATAGCAAGGCATTTTTGCAGCACACCAGAGAAAACATTGCCATTGAGTTATATAGTATACGTTCTCATCGCCTTTCCTTTGAACATAACATGCCCACAATCACTGCATAGACTGTTTCATTGATTATACTATTGATCAAACGACTTGTGTTGCCCGTGTTATTTTTCTTCTCTTTGTTTAACCGTGGTTTCGTGCCTCGTTCCATCGCGTCCTCTCATATCTGTCCCGTGGCCCTGAGGGGCAGTGTTGGCCCTGACGTCTGACCAATAGCTCCGATCAGCGAGCTGCATTCTCTGGGGGATTCGATTGGCGCCGGCGAACAACACAGGCTTAGCTGTGCCAGATAAGACGTTTCAATTTTGCCGCCTGCTCCTTCTCTGTTGGAGAGAAGTGGAAAATAATGGAGACGAACCGCAGCGGAGCGATGCTGTGGTACAGCGGAGGTAAACAACGGGAAGGGAGCTGCGGCTCTTTGGCGCTTGGTGTGAACCTCTGGCACTTTACTCGTACCGGCTGATGTCAAGTTTTTATGCTGAGCGATGCCGCGCGGGCGCTTTTGGTGGTCGAGCATGTTTGATCGAGGTGCTATAGTTCGAGAGGTATACAAGATATACAAATTCAGTCTGTAAACGCGAAGCATTCTACCCTTACATTGGCAGTACGTCGTAATGGACAGTTCCGGAGATTTCGAGACAGTTTCGGTCTATCAGTAGCAGCTGCACGCCAGATTTGTTCGGTATAAGCTGAGCTCTGCCGTTGTATAGGAGATAGATAATCGTAGCTACAGATGTCGGGCCGGATGGTATAGCGCCTTAATTCGACATCACCTGCCGCTGAATTGTGTTTTAACGCTGACTGATACAGCCGACCCTCAGCGTGGTTCTCTGTTCTCCAATCTGTTCTACAATATTGCTGCCCGGTTGACTGCCACTACTGCGTCTTGTCCTAAAACGAACTCATTGACCCCGTGTGGTAGTGTTATGGTGACGCCACACCGCAGCACATAACAGGAGAGGGGCTCCGCCGTCAGCGCCAACAAATACACACCGACCGACACGCAACAGAATGAGTGAGAGGGTGATTCACTTGGTGGTGCAGGGGACATCAGGGGTCCGGACCTGCAACAAGTTTGCGTAACTCGGCGGTTATTGGCTTAAAAGTCATCTTTGCACGATTTCATCAGCATCGCAGGCTTCCTCTTACCGTAATTACATATAGATGACGGCTAGAAGAACTTCAAGTAGGTACAGAAAGTCTAGTCAGAATTCGCATGTTTGTGCGGTCTCCCCAGGCAGGCAGAGGTTGTGAAGCCCGAGCATGTCGTGCCCGGAGGCTATAAATTTTCAGCCCAGCGATGCGAAGATGGCATGTTTTTGCGGCCGCGTCTGTTATGGGCGCGTCATTGCTGGTCGCCGCTCATTTTATAGTTCTGTTTTTCGGTCATTCCGGAACTTTCTCAATTTCAAACTTGGTGATCGGTACGTGGCCCGGCCGACATAAAATGGGTACACGCCGCATTAAATCATCCTTTGGGCTCCCCGTTTTGTGATTAATAATAAGTTTAAGCAAGTTTTCATTTAATACTTTTTGTAGATTTATTGATCTTATGCTTGCTCATTTTCTTTTCTTTTCAAATGTGCTCATTCCGTACGAACATAACTATCAAATCAATATATTTCAAACAAAATAAAACCCAGCTTATATCGGTATAGTTATTCTGAGAAGCTCTACCGCAAACCAGCATTCTTTTACAACTTGTCTCCGACAAACTCTGCCAGAGATAGCTCAACTTTGGCACGGCTGATGTTCGAGCCCCGCACGCGTCGGGACTCGAGGACCCTCTGAACCCGCGTTGGTCCGCTAAGATCGCCCACCATGTCAGCCCTGCAGGCGCACGAACGAAGGTCATAAGTCGTTGGCTATCGATCTCCAAATATTTAATGTAACTGACCGTGCGCGCTCTATGGAGCGGTCACCAATGTCTCCTGGCGACCGGTCACTTTTGGAGACGCCATGGCCGTCGCTATGGCAACTACACGGCTCTGGCCAGTGGGGTTTGGTGTCGGAAACCTGGGGCAGGGCTCTGTCATCAAATTCGAGATAAATCTCAGACAATGGTGGCCGTGATCAGGCAAACAAATGAGTCGGTTTGTGGTAGCTGTTCAAGTTTACGAAGCGGTATCCGGATCGTATTGTTTTCCCGAACGACTTCCACGATATTACGCGATATCATATCTCCACGTTACAAGCAGTTTCCGACTTTCCCCTCAGTTTTGTTGCCAGGTGGACAGTTGTGCCACGAGCCGACAGCCACGAACACTGACGTGTTCCTGCAGCGTCATTGTCGAGTGACTTGTGTATATACTCGTAGTGCCCGTGGCGAGTCGTTGAATGAGGCAGTGTGTAAGTCGAGAGACTCTGACTCGAATCACACCTGGTTAAGTTCCTGACGAGTGATATGCTCGGAAATAATGTACTGAGTAAGTAAGGTACTCATGACTGCAGCAATGGTGATGTGTTGAGGAATAACGTTAAACATGTTATTCGGGCTGGGCTTATAACTCAAGTGATAATGGGTAAAAATATAGCAGCAAGACGTTAAAGGGAATATTAAACAAGCAACCATGATTGATCCATGCCATGACATGCAATCTAACTAAAAGGTTGCAGCGGTATTAAAAAAGCTAGTCTGTTTATTTAGACACAGTACATCACTCGCATATTGGCTGAGTTCATTTCGACTTCGACTTCAGAGATAGATATGCATCAGATAAGAGATCGACGGCTGGCCGTTTGAAGAATTCAGAACCTAGCAGCAGACATTTTTGGCTTCCAGATACTTAAGTGAGACCATGGACCCTGTTTAAAGATCCCGAGGCGGTGGTAGCGATGTTCTGAACATTGGGTCGGGTGAACGATTAATTGGTTGGAACTCCTCCTGCACGCTTCTTGCTCCCGTGTGATCATTTGTACTTATTACTGTTCAATCTGGTCAGCTTACTGCTATTTAAAACCTCTGACTCAGCCATGATCTCTCTTATATTCGTCTTATTCGAGGTTCAGATTTTCGTCTATTTTTTGGTGTTATTTTCTAGTAAAGCCTGATCATCCCGGTGCAGCTTTCTGCTTTAAGATTTTTAATAAGCACAGGCCTAATACTTTGTTTCCATAATAACAAGTTCTGAGTCATCACATCCAGACAATACCTATACCTGGAAACTTGATTGTCTCCCTCTTGCACTCTGGGACTTAGATCTTTTCTCTTCTAACACTTTGTTTGTCTCGATGGTCTATGTCGAGCCAAAACTGTAAGCAGTGTTACCACGACCATTTTTGTTTATTGTTTCTCCTTGTGACATGCTCACTCCTTTTATTCGAGTCAGTCTAAACGAATACATCCTTCTAAAGCCCACCTCCAGGCTAATAGACAACTGACAGAGGGCGTCCTTGACCTCAGGTTCCGAGGCGCGGCAGAGGCTAGTGCCCGACGACGAGGTGATTCTGGTGGCCCGCGTGACCCCGGCCGGCGGTCGCATCCAGACCTACGTGGAGCCGCGACCTGAGAACGAGTACCTGCTGCAGGTGCGCTCCGACGGCGTCATCGTCGGCTCCGACAGCAGGTCAGTGACATTCGACGGCAGGTCATTCATCTCACGAGTTCACTTTAGTTTGCGCCAGTTATAAGTCATAGAGGCCGCTGAAGGTCACAGGGGTCATTTGAAGATTGAGAGAGGCCAGGGTCAGGCGCTTAGCGAGGGCTAGTCAGATGTTAAGTTACGGTCAGTCGGGTGGGAGCATTTGTAAAGGTCATTCAGAGTTCGAAGATTTGTTAAGGTCACAGACGATAGCCAAGGTCAGAGCGGCCAGCGTAGGTCAGACACGAATACGATCAGGGACAGTGGACGGAATTGTGATCGTCGACGAGGGTGTATCTTTTTTGTAAAATAACAATTACATTTGTAGATGAATATGACATTGACTACTTTCAGTATATTATATACGTTTATGAAATAAGCCTTTGTTTTTAAATGCCACTACCCACCAGCCGACCTTCAGACTCACATGGGACTTCTCTTTGACGGAAGCTCTCGCTGACTGGTCTGTCCCTCTCTGACCGGGCTGTCCCTCTCTGCCGCAGAATAAGTCTCTGCGCCGGCTTCCTTCCAAGCGAAGTGCGGAAAAAGTCGGCACATAGCTTCCTGCACAAAGACGATCGAATGTTCGCTGCTGTTCGACAAGGACTGAGTAAGTGCCGTCGCCCGGCGTTGTGTAAAGTATTGAAACTTGCTTTATGCACAGATACTTCTCCATTTACTGATGATCCAGCTGGGTGATGAAAAAGTGTGGGACTGGACAAGGATCAAAATTGATCATTGGTTCTTTACTGTATTCCTTACCTCTCAGTCTTGCATTATAAAGTTAACATTAAATTTATGGCTTGAATAGAGGCCATGACCTATGTGCTCCTCATGCAGCCGCCAGCGCCAGCGTCACTCATCATCCAGGAGCATTTACTGGATCACACAATTAACGTCTCCAGCCTGCTCACAGTTTGCGCGCGCTGTGCCTACTGTGCCTACTCCCGTTTCCTTGCGTGTGAGACTCTGTGGTGACTTCCCTCGGCAGTGTTCCTGTTCCCGGACGTGTTTAGCAGTGTCACAGTGCGACTGATCAACAACACCAACAACATTGAGTTCGTCAACGTGCGCGGAAACCCCAACTTTGAGATGCAAAAGAACCTGCCGCCCGGCCACTTCACGACGCGACAAATCATCATCAGGTGGGTGATATCCACTCTGTATCAACATCATTGGAGCCGCATGTCACCGCTTGCATCTATCTCTGACGCTGGGAAGAGGGAGGTGATTCTGATTTCTGGCTGTAAAAATGTAAAACAAAGCACACATATAGTTCGGTATAGTGCTTTGTCGGTATAGTCCTACTTGCATGAGTTGCTATTCTAGATAAGCTGTGTTTATTTGTTTATTACGCCGCATTATTGGTCCGTGAGGAATGGTGAAATACCAAAAACATAATGGGTTCTTATCGGCCATGAGTGGTCAGTCCGATTCCACCTTCCTGCCTTTCTGTTGTTGCTCAAAGCACCCACTTCAAAGGCAGTGGCTACGTTCTAATTGTTCTGGTAGAAACACTGATAGTGTGGGTATGCAACGGTCCGAATGGACGAGGATTATGTTTTCATCGCTGTGTAATGTGTAGTGTAGTGCATGGCTATTTGAGTACCCTGACCCCTCCCAGTGACTTTTGAGACCATGCATACTTTGCGTATGAAGTACGATCTTATATAACTTAACTAACATACTTTAAAAAAAACGTATGGTTGTTAGCCTGGTTTGTATTCAAATCATCCCTGGCAACTTATTTTTATTTGGGCTATTTTTATTTTACTTTTTTTATATTTTATTTTATTATTTTTTATTTTTTACTATTTTTGTATTTTTATTTATTTTTATTTTGGCTATTTGGGTACCCTGACCCCTCCCAGTGACTTTTGAGACCATGCATACTTTGCGTATGAAGTACGATCTTATGTAACTTAACTAACATACTTAAAAAAAAAACGTATGGTTGTTAGCCTGGTTTGTGTTCAAATCGTCCCTGGCAACTTACAGCTAGCGTGCGGGGCTATCAGATGCCTACTGTTCTATTAACGGTAGTGTTACGTGATTAGACGATGGGCACGGCCATAGACTGGCATAGGGCAACATTCCGAGGAAACTTTTAACTGCACATAGCCTTGTAAGTACACTTTCAAAAACCACCGCGTGACTGCGATTAAGAAATTGTTTAAAACAGCACTGACTGGACCATTGACCTATAATAAGTACATTGTCGACATCATCCTCTTTGTGAATACAGGTGAACGGCTTGCCTTATAGGTTAGCTTGAAGCTCTCATCCTCCAGTGCTCGGCCCGACAAGTGGAAAGACATTCCTCTTCCCTCGTACTACTGAACCAAACCAGACAGTCCCTTCAACATGGCAAATCAGGCAGTCATTCTCTACGCAGCCTAACGTTTAACCAGAGAGACATTTTCACACAGTTGGACCATAAACCCCTTACGCACACCAGCTGTGGTCCTTATACACTGTGAACCACTGTTATCCACAGTCCACACATCCTGGACCACTGTCATCAACACAGTTGAACCGAACAGTTTCCACTTCCCAGCTCACCCTACACCCAGACAGCGCCGTCGCCGGCAGCCTATAAGGCGGCGCCGGGCACCGTGGACAATGTGCTCCCCAGTGCACCGGCCGGTGTGGACCTGGTCCCCTGCGGGCAGACCTGGTGCACCGGCCGCGGACCCCCTCACCCGCGGCGGCAGCAGAGGCCGGGTAAAGTTGGCCGCTGCCGCCGCGCCGCCCGGGCGCTGTGCGGGGCACGGAGAGAGGCGGAGCAGGGGCCGCGTGTTGGGGTAAATTGGCAGAGCCAAGGCTGTGGATTTGTGGTGTTAGTAATGAGTTGGGAGCCTGGCAAAGAGTAGGTATAATAGGACTTGTGTGACATCAAAGCATTTTCTTAACTTTGAGCAATAATATATATGCGTTCGTCAATGCGCTTCACTGAACGGATTAAGCACTGAACAGGATTTTGTTTTAGAACGTCACGGAATTTCTGAATGTCGTGCCCTAGGCAGAACAATAAAACGCTATGTTCCGGCCGCCTGTACCAGTGCTGTGAGCGCTCTAGACCCGAACCTGGCCCAACGGACTGCCGACAATGGGCCCCAGCTCAATGGGTCTCAGACCGGCAGACAGGCTCACACACTGCTGCGCGGACGACGCGCGACACGGCATCTCACTGCACTGCGCTCAGGCGTCCACAGCTCGTTTACAAGTCATGAGCAAACACATTACCAGCGCGCTAAGCAGACAGTGGGCGTGAAGAGATTCCCAGATACGCGGCTTGCATGCCGTTTGAGTTGCGTAACATCCCTCACTGTTACAGCGGCTGATAAGACGCGCGATATGGCGAGCGAGTGGCTGCATTTGGCTGTGGATGAGGTTATTCACACATTCATCATTGTCATTCGAGGTGCAATATTACGGCGGAAACCAAGGGAATCGAGCCGCTTTTATTGAACGAAAGTGCCGACATACCGAGCTAATCTTTGGAGAAGCTCCTTTATTGCTTCGCCCGTCGCCGCACGAACTAAGTTCGTGCGATGTTCATTCGTAAGACGGCGGTTTGCCGTCGATATCAATCACTTCATACCGGCGTAGTACTTTTATTACCGACTGCATCAACAGCGATTGCATTCGGCGGTAGACTGCATTTCATTTTAGCGACGTCAGACATTGTTCATAATCATTTTATCTCCTCCTTGCTATGTGATCGATAGACTATTTTGTGCACATCATCAGCTTCTCAGCATTCTATAGTGGCAGAAGCATTTCGTAATGCAGCTAAACTGGCATTGAAGTTCCTAGCAATGCAGAAGTACTTTGTGTTACCAAACGAACCGGTTTGGTGATCAATGCTGTACCACAGAGCCTTCTCCAATCTAATGTCTCGTCCTGTTTTCTTGATCGGCCAGCTTTGTGTCCTTGGACCCTATGCACTCTGATGGTGATGTAGGTTTATTGAACCAAAGACTATTTTATACATGCACAACCATTGGTAGCGACGCGATATGTTCATTCCAAAAACAATGATTAATTTTGCAGTAACAATAAGCTGCATGACTGGCAACATCAGTCAAATCCACTGATGAAATAATCGCAAGCAACTCCGCAACAGATTGCTCAGTGATGGAAGGTGATGTCATGACCTACATCGATCAGCCGAAATAGGTGCTGTTCCGGCTGCGAAAGTTGGAACGTGCCTCCCTAAAATTCCGATCCTTGCCCTCAAGATATGCTCAACTGCGCCACAAGTATTCCATGCGTGCTGGTAGGCACATGCGGTTATCTGCATAATCCTCGGCCATCCGTAGATGGCTGCAGATAACGGTGCAAATTGACTGAATAAATGAGCCGGTGGCGTCGACTGAGACCGGCGCCCGTCACCAGCCCTGCAGAGGCTGTCTGGTTGTCTGCATCGCCGCCGCGGTGTGCGTTGCACTATCCCGTTCGATCCTTTGTGTGTGTGAGCTGCATGATGATTATACCGCACCCCGGCCATCGACCTTGCGGGACACCGTTATTATCGGAACCGGAGGGGACGGCCGGCCGCAGCGAGAGAGGGCTGACGAGGGGTGAGGTGCTGCTGCGCGACGCTGCAAACGACCACTACCTACGCCTTTCAGTCCACCGAGTGCGAGTTTCCCATACGTCTTGTCACCCCTCCGCTGTCCCCCTCTCCCCCTCTCTGTCTCGCTGCCTTCCTCGACCTCCCGTGGTCGCGACCTGGGTCACCGGGCGGCTCCCTGAGTCAGTCCTGCCAGCCGTCCTGCACAACGGTGACGTGGCGTGCTATGACCTCGCCGTCACCGAGTGAGGGAGCACCGGCCGGCCGGGGTGTAAAGGGGAGGGGTGCAACGCAAGGGTGGAGGGGTGCAGTGGTGGAGAGGAGAGGAGGGTTTTGGAAGGAGTCAGGGTGAGTGCGCTGGTGTGTGGGCCGCAGTCAGTAGACAGTAACACTGTATATACGATGGTCGGAGAGTGGTTGTTTATAATCACGTTTCAAAACAAGTAGGTAGTCCGCCTCCGCATCAAAATCTTGTCAGTTGTCGTTGCAAATTCCACTGTCTTAAGCGAGTCCACTGTAGGTAGTGTTTTGGTCTACCTTGTCCCTATGCAGGCAGGTATACCTTCTGCGAAATATTAGTGTAATGTACTCGGGCGCATTTGGCCAATGAGAAGTGATCGTCCTGATGGTCGAACTTGTGAGCCATCCGTTGGCGTCGGGCTGCACCGGGGATGTGCCCCGGCGCGGCGGGCCGCTCTCTAACCTAATTAGAGTGTGTTTGTGAGTCGCCGGCGCGGTAATTTGACGCCGGCAGTCCCGGCCAGAGGCTGAGCTGGGCAGCACACCGCGGAGCGTGCCGCGTGCAATCAGCTCGACCCCCGACGGCGCAGGTATCACCGGTTACAGCGGTGGAACATTGCCGAGTGGCGGGGGGACTAGGAGGAACAGTCTGGGTAGCGAACACAGCGGAATGGTGGAGAGACCGGAACACAGCGAGATAACGGAGAGACTACTGGGGGAATGCGATGGGATGGCGTAGTGACTTATACCGGAGGAACAAAATATGGTATATACTGGAGGGGCTGGTAGAGATACTACCAGTGAATACTATATCAGGTTCATCGCTTCACATACCTAATCTCATTATCGCTGTGAGCATAGATTGTGTAATATGCTGCAACCATCCCTGCGTCTTCTGTGAGGCATCTTACCTTGTTATTGCTGCTGACGGACGATTCAGTCAGCATAAATATCGTCTCAACCCCACAGCCTCGATGAGAGCGTGCCGACTGACACCGCTCCCCCTTTCGTTTGACAGTGCCAACGAAGCCCGCAAAGAACGGTGTAGAGAGATGCAGCACCTACAGGAGTTTCTTCGTGACGTCATCCACGGAAAATACCCCCGGGAACAGGTCCAGGGCATGGTCCAGGTAAGAGCGGAACCTAGAAATGTGAGAGGCGGTGTCGTGTCGCGGCGCGGGGGCTATTGTTTGGGTCTGGAGTGTTCAAACGCTCGGTGTTTGTTTGGAAGCTAAAACCATAGTGTCGACACGCTGGTGAATGAATATGTTTGTTGGGAGCGTGATCATAAGTGTGAGACTTTGAATCCCGCCACAGCGTCACTTGATGGCGCTATGTGATCTGCGTGATTGCCGAGAGGATGTCTCAGAGCCCTCAGAATCCTCTGCTAGACGGCGTCAATGACCGCACTCGGTTGTGGAACATGTACTTAGGAGGAGCACCATGCTCGCAACAATCACTGTTGCTGTAGTCTCTGGGCCTGCAATGAAACTTCTATAGATGCCGATGAAACTTTAATGGCCTCGCGCCGCCTAGTGACTACATCAGGGACCGATTTGTACCGCGCAGCGATAGTGGAGGCGGAACTTCGAGTCCTCAGTTTCAGACACAATTACAGCTGTCTGTAGCGTGTGGGCGGCAGAGAGCGGGCTGTAATCCGAGAGATCTGGGCACCCAAACGGGGTTGTCTTGCGCTGAGAGCTGGCATTGTGTGCAGTTACGATTTCCCATATGCAGAATCAGAAATAATGAACCTTCTGGCATGATGGCATCACCCAACCGAACAACCCTTGGAACTGTTCAATTTTGAGGCTCAAATTTATTTACGAATAAAAAATGAGCTTTTTCCAGGATATTGCTTTCCCATATCGATGTTTTCCAATTCAGCTTTTTGTACGCAGATTTTGACCGTACCTTTGTCCGCAGGCAATCATGGGTCCTATGATGAATCAGCTGAGCGCATTCGACGGCTACACCAGCTTTAACGACCCCTTCTCGGAGGAGTTCAGCATGTGCATGTTCCAAATGCTGGCCGAGTTCATGCGCACGATGCCGACGTCGGACGTATCTGGTTGGTCGTCAGCTCCGGCCAGCAGCGGAGACGTTCAAATCACCGAGCTGGACTCGACCACCCCCGGTCCTCCGGAGGTGGTCTGTGCCGACCCGATGCCGCCACCGCCGCCCACTCAGAGCGCGCTGCCCATGGAGCCCCTGCGGGTGGACACGTACAGCGCCACCGATCTGCCGGCCGACGACCTGCACACGCTGCTGAGCAGCTGCAGTGAGGACCAGTGGGACGAGCCGGTCGGCGCCGGCCCCAGCCCGGTGCCCAGCGACTTCGGCGCCGCCGCACAGCCGTCACCGGACGGCCTCGGCGGCGGCGGGTTCCGCGCGCCCACCAACGGCCTGTCCTCGGCGCAGTACCCGCCGTGTGCGGCCCCGCAGCGGCACCCGTCGTACCCGCCGGCTGTGCCGCCGCAGACGTGCGCCATGCAGGCGCAGCAGCAGTCGCCGTGCGGCTACCCGGCCGCCTCGCCGCAGTCGTACGTCAGCGCGTCGCCGCAGTCGTGCGGCGTCCAGTCGCCGGCGCAGTCGTTCTCGGCGGCGTCGCCGCAGTCGCGGTATAGCAGCATGTCGCCGGGTCAGTGCTATGCCTCGCCGGCGGCCAATGGGCAGATGATGTCGCCACCTTACGGCCAGCCGGTGAGGCAGTCGTGTCAGTTCCAGCCGGCAGAGGCGCCTCCGGCGGGGTACCAGGAGACGGGCATGTTTCTGTCGCCGCCTCAGCAGCAGGCCGTGCCAGGTGAGTGTCTGAGGCGAGAGTAGAGTGCTTAGATAGGGGCGGTGGAGGACATTGTAACGATTCACTACCTAAGCTGGTCCTGTGCAATCATTGCGGAAAAATGAAACGCCAGAGTGTACCAAAATGATCCGATCATAAATATCTAATAGCCTAACGGTAATTGGGTAGTAATTACTGATAATCACCGTGTCAGTTCTTGAGCGTAACGAACAACTAACAACTTTGTACTCTTTCCAGGCTATTCACATTCTCAAGAAATGTCAAACAGGCATCTCATGACACAGGTAAGCTTGAACCTTTTATTTTGCTTAGATCTTTCTCCGATTTTAATTTGCTGTACTCAAGCGAACAGTTTGAGTATAGCAATTTCATATAATGTAGCTGGCCTTTGATTTTGACGTGACCTGACTCAGTCCTCTTTTACCTAACCTCTGCCTGACCCAACCGTCACCCTTACCTAACTGGTCCTGTTTCCTCTCCTTTTGGCCCAGAAATGAGGTCGTTGAAGCGACGCTCAGACTCCTGTTCGGTCTGGCCCCTATCCACCATATCCATGGTGACCTTGTGGAGTCCCCCTTACCCTCTTACCCTCTTCCTGACAACGCTCTGGCACAGCCTTGACCTCGCTCTGATCACGTACAGACCCCTCCACCTCACCCCAATCTGACCCTTGTCTGACTCCCTTTTGACCCCGCTCTGACCGATGCCGTCCCGCTCCCTGTCCTCAGACTGCGATGGACACGGGCCAGCTGGCGCCGTCCGAGTTGGGCGCTCTGGAGCTGGCTGTCGACTCGCTGCCGCTGCTGCTCACGCCGCCTACCTCGTCTAACCCGCAGCCGCCAGACGACGCCATCATGAACTGGAGCCACGGCTGAGCGCCGCTGGCGCGCGCGCAGAGACCTGAGTGGACGCCGGCCGCCGCGGTGCGCGCAGAGACCTGAGTGGACGCCGGCCGCCGCCGCGGCGCGCAGGGCATTTGGTTCATCGCGAGCTCATGGCATCCACCGACCGGCCGTGTGGAGCCGACCACGGCTGTCCGGCTCGGTCCACACTCCCGCAGTCCACATCCACATCCACATGTACGCACACATATACCATCATCGTTGCCGCTTGTTCGGACTCTGACTGTGGCGGCCAGCACCGTCAGGCCACCGCCGGTGTCAGTGCAGTCCGCGCGGCCGTCGGTAGTTTCAGAAAGCCTGCGGTTAGGTGGCAGCGGGCCGAGCGCGGGCCTCGTGCTGTCTTCTCTTCCTCGCCGTACAAATATAAGAGTCAGCGGTGGCGCCGGGCGCGAGTGCGTGAGTTAGGGCCCGGTGATAGAGTGCTGTCACGGACCGCTCGTATAGAACGCTGGCGGATCGCAGCTGGGCGAGTCACGGGAGCTGTTGGAGACGTGTGGTGCAGAACGCTCGGGCGTGTTACGATGGCAAATGTGTGGCGTATCGCGGATTCAGCTCAGAAATCTATCCAGCGGCGCGCGTGTTATAGAATTCCATCCAGTCGAGCGCCGACTATCAGTGATAAACATTATGTTTAAGTGTGGGATCTCTGTTTGTGAATGAGTGTGTTGCTGTGTTCCCGGTGGACTATCCAAACGTTTGGTATGAGAGGTGTGGGCGAGTGGGCTCAAGTGTGGGGCGAGTTGGATCGTTGATGTTCGGTTTTACCTGTGCTAATTCACATTTTGAAGTGTGCGACTTTTGGTGTGAGCGTGCGTCGTCTTTGCTGTATCCATTTTCTATTTCCGAGAGAAAACACTTCCATTGGCATAAAAAAGCTGTCAAAACCGTTTTATGGCCCATGTCGTCTCTAAAAACAGGCTCCACTTACCCATATACGATTTGATCGAGGATCACATTTTGTCGTTCCGCATTGGTTTTCTGCTAGCAAGTTTTTATCGAATCAGAAACTTAGAAATCAGCTCATTTACCTATATGTTGGCTAACAATGTAGCACTATTCGTTAGTCATGCTGGTTCTTGGACGCCCTCACAATGTGACTCTGAGAGAGAGAATCGCGGAGGATTTGCGTGGTTGGATGTTCAGTGTACTGTGATAAGTGCAAGGTTCTGAGCGCAAATCAAATTCGCCAGTCGTCCAATCAAATTATACAAGCCTACACGCTGTTACCCTGTAGTCCCCCTATGTTCCCGACGGATCTATGTGTGACAGGAAATTAGATGGTTTCCCTGATACCTCCCGCTCAAATGACACGCGCGCTCACACGTCAAACCATTTAGCTTCACCAAGCGTAGTACCTCAGAGAGGTACGAGCCGCGATGCCCTGTACCTTGATAGCTGTTGGAAATCAAAAATTTACCTGGCTCGTGTAAAACTTGTAGTTTTTCAGCCTGGCATTGTAAATGTCATGAGTAGCTCAAAGCTGTTGCGCCGATTTTCATGACGTAGCCGATTTGGCTCCAAGTGATTGTGACCGTTTTTTGGTGGCCTATTGCATTTTATCGCGTCCCTTGCGGTATTGCTCCAAGCATATGTTCCAGTTGTGTGAAGTATGGTCGCTCTAGATAAACATCTACATTGAATATCGGCCACGAAAACTGAGAGGTCTGTATCTACCGCAGCTTCACTATGCTGCTTTCAGTTTCATCCGATGAAACTTTAACATTTCAAGGGAACTCCTTGCCTAAGGCTACTTATTGGCTTCTCGGATTCCTGGTGCGTCTTTCTCCTCAAGAGCGTCTCTAAGACCGTTTGAGCCTAAACAAGGTACTTGCTCTTGCATTGCAAGCTAAAAATTGTCAGATTGAATAAACACATAAAAAGGGGCAGCTTTTTCTAAACCACAATTCCATCATTGTATCGTCCTAAGACGAATGTCTGTGCGTTACAAATAGCTGCTGTCGCCTCCCAGCGTCGCATTTCCACCCGTAGGCTCCCACCTGCCGTCCCTTTATATGGGGACCAGTGTGCAGCCGCTCGGTAATCAAAATCTGCCTATTGCCTATCCCGTGTTACGGCTGCCTACCTGTGTGTCTGTGTGTCTGTGTGGAGTGTTGGGTGAACGGGATGTCGTCTCACCGTGTCGCCCAAAGCGGTCACGAGGAGGTGACACCATGAGCGGGAGTGGAAAGTCGCGTGTTTCGGGTGATATGCGCCATCAAATGGGCACTGAGAGTCGCGTGTACGGGCGTTATTCATGTTGTTATGCAGGCGTAGTGTTTTATGAGAATGGCGCGTTGTTGCTGTACGTTATGCGTGGTTATACCTGAGCCACGTTTGTACAATAAACTCACACAGCTAGCGACCGAACCGTGATTTGGACTCGTTTAAAGGCTCAACGAGCAAGAAGCTAAATCGACAGAAGAACGAAGCTGATGGCAGTTTTGTGCGCTATTTATTGCGGTCAGTTTGACTTTCTTTACTGTTGTAGATGTAGGTGCGGATTGACAAAAATGGAGTCCACGCTGAGCAAAGCGTGCTGCTCAGGCTCCGACCCTTACCGTTCGATCGGGTCATTCCAGGAAATGGGCAAATTAAAATGACAGCTCACCTTGCTTATCAAAGCCGAACGCTGCCCTATTCACTCATCAAGTAGCTGCGGTTGCTTCCACCAGCCGCGACCATCCCCGTCGGAGTCTCGGATAATATCGAGCACCGAAACGACTAGAGCCCGAATTATTACCTACCATAGAGAACCCGCTAGCACGCCAATAAGCTACACGTAGCTTAGCTTATTCGCCCGTTCCGCGGAACGGGTGAATGACGTAGGTTCGCCGTGATCCAGTTGGAAGGTAAACGACAGTAGGGACTCGAAATGACTCGCCTTATAGGGCCTATGCGCTAGCCTTATAACACTGATTTGCAAGTCTGAAGTGAAACTGTTACTGTGCAGGCTTTCTTGATCCATAACCGTTGCTGAAACAATGATGACTATCATCCCATAGCAGCCAGTGAAACTGAGCAGCCGATGCAAAGTGTCATGGTTACGGAACGGTTGAGAGCTGAAGAAAGTAAATATTTGAAGAGCAAAGACAGCCAGACGGTCGTGAGATCGATGAAGCGTACGGGCTTAATCGGGAACAGTGGCGTGCTTACTTTGTGTGCACGAACCGTGAGTGCAGGCACGACTTGTGGCTGGCTTGCACGGTAGGCATATAGGTAAATCGTGATTGGTCGTGGCATGCACTGTCCGTGTAATAAAGAAGCCCTGGGACTAGTAAAATGACTATCGCCTCATGCGTGTTCGGGCCGCTGTCTTATGTGATAAGCTATACCCGGCTCTGCCAAACTTGTATGGCACCGGTAAGGCAGAGAACAAGCGCCTGAGTAGCAGCCTGGAGTTGCCCTCACGCCTTGATCACGCAAGATTACCTGCAGATTCTGCTGATCATTCGGCGGCCGAAGTTCATTGGCCTTGCCGCCAAGTTCACGTACCTAATGGTAGCCGGTGTTGACAAAGCCAGAATGGGCGCTCCCACTATTTGCACGATTTATGCCGGGAAGCGTTTACTTTGAATACCAGGAAGGGCATGAATTAGGGTTCAAGACGCTAGCAAGCTGATGATTTTGCTCAACAACATTGGTACTCATTTTCTGAAGTGTATTGTTGGCTTGAGAACTTCAATAAATAATCGCTATGACCGTCTTATTATTGCACTTTGCACATTTCACTATGAGCACAGAAGCTGCGTAAAACGGTTCTTTACCACATGGCTCGTAATGGGATCCTCCTGGCTCCCACCTTCAAAAAAGTTAATGAATTGGCATAAAAGTGATGTTTCACTGTGATTCAGAAAGAGCGAAAATAAATATCTACCAAATTTCTCCGAAAAAAATTATTTACCGGTTTCCAACATATTTCATTTCAACTTTTGTTTATTTTTCGAGACCTCCGCGAACGACGTCATTTGGAAGCAATAATTTGGCATCCTAAAAGTGCGGTTGATGTTGCGTGAAAAGCAGTATAAACCTCCACGTTTTACCAAAGGTTTAACCCTCGCAGAACCTATTGGTTTTCTACATACGCACCGGCCGAGGGGGGGGGCGGGTACGACCCCCCCCCCCTCGCCGTTTCGCCCCTGGTGGAGCTAGCGCGTCGCGGAAAAAAACGAGCGTGTACGCCGTTACGAGACGAAGAGATTGGTACGTACCCGATTTTAAGGTCCTAGGTCAACCAATGACCTCAGGTCAGGTCAAGTGCCCCAAGATACGATTCAGTTTTTGGTGAATAACTTCGCAAAAAACGGCCGCAAAGCCACGATTTTGGCGGCATCGTGTGTGCCTTCCTCAGGCGCGTCGAATGATATACTTTTGTTTTGGGTTAGGTCAACTTAGAGTGTTGACCTCAGGTCACGGTCAGGTCAGCACCCCAGGTCACAAAGTTGGTCGAAACAGGTCATGTCGCATATCATTCGATTCGGCAGGTCTTCCTGAGTCCATTGGTGGCTTTCCCGGCTCGCTAGCTCAATTTGATCGGGAGTTATTGATGAAAAACTAATATGATCTTGATGACGTCATAAATGACGTCACGCAAGATCAACATTGCAAAAGTAACGCATCTAACCTTGCAAGGAGTGCATAAAATCACGATTCTGTGTGTTTGAGATAGCTGTAGATCGTTCCCGGCGCCAGAATAGCAATTTTCATATTTCCCCATTGGCTTATAGAGGTCACGAAAATGACCTGACCTCATATGACCTTATAAAGGAAAAATCCGAGATATACAAGTTGTGAGACTCGTAATGGATACTAGATCCTGCAAGTTTCATTTCCCTGTGAAAGCTCCTCTGGCAGTGAGGGCGTTGCGAAGTTGCGACATCTGAAGACCGTGCAGAGGTTCACTTATGACGTCATAGGTCAGTGACCTGACCTGACCCGAAAATGCGGTTGGTGTCAAAAGATCTGGCTTGAATCATAGGTCAGGTATGCCAAGTTTCAGCTCTCTATCGCCAGCTGTTCGGAGCTATCGCGAAAAAAAAAACTATGGGGGGCGGCACCCGCCCCCCCCCCCATCGGCCGGCGAGGGTTCCCACGTCACCCTCCATGGCTTGCTTTCATTGCGATGCGACTGAACGCAGCCCATCACATTAAAAGTAAGCATGTCTGTTGGCGCTTGCCCTGCGGTCGTAAAAAACCTCAAACGTCTGCAAAGTGCTGTCAGGGAACCCCGGGCAAACCCCGGGTACGCAATGCCAGAGTCGTTTGCGAATCTCTGTCGTCGTGGGTGAAATGAGAACCACTGAATGGAACAATGCCAGACGTCTCGGAAATTTATGGCGGTAAACCATAGCACTTAGTGGCTAGTACCTATACCTCAGCGACAGTGCAACGCTGAGCCTGCCAACACGTCGGAGAAAAATGGATTCAAATGGCCGCCAAGCGAATCCATCGTCAGGTATGGGAATATGACTGCATTTATGGTGTTAAGCGTGTGCACCAATCATGGAGAAGTAGGTTTTCTGGTTCCGTGAACGGAATCCATCAGCACACACTTAGAATGGAAACAGGCTGACTGCATTTTTGCAAAGCGGATGGATCTACCAATGTTTCCTGTTGCAGGCAGACAACGTTTGTATCGTGGTCAAAGGACATATGTAATACAGACCTACGGTAACCGAACGGTATAAGGTGTCCAGCCTCCAACTTAACGAAATTCGGCAATCTGTATAGGTACTACGACAATTGTATATGTATGTACAATGAATACATACGCTGATAAAATTCAAATTTAACCTTGATAGCTACATTAGCCTTTTTCACAATGGCCGCTGCCTGGCAAATGCACCTAATTGGACCAAATCTGCACTAAACCTCTTGTACAATAGATGAGTTCATATCATGAATTTATTTCAATGTTTTGATTGAAAATAATGTCTGATAATTTGAGAAATAATGCATAAATACATCTATGCAATCCACACTGATAACTTTTAAGAAATACACAGAACCTAATTTGACCACATCTGCACCAAATCTGCTCCAAATGTGTACCAGATAGCCGTCGTGAAAATTGCTATTATTACTTTATCGTAACTGCTAGCGACATATATTGAGCATGTAGGCCTGCATTTATTGCACACAAAGAATGCGATCAACAATTTACAACCACCTTCTCGTTCATCTTGGCAGTCAGCTTCGTTTCAAATATCTATGTACTTACCTATCTACAATTATTATCGGAGTCTGACGAGTAATATTTCATCATCAAGCGAAAATGCACATTGTTGCACCTCAAATAGGCATCTTTTCAATCAATTTCAGCGAACTGCATTCGATATTAGCGATCTCGCATTTGCTTCGAATAGGGGCATTTTGTTTCCCCATATGGGTTCTACATAATTGACCTCCACCGTATATTGCAACTGACTTTTATTGCGCAAAAACAAATAAATATGCTTGCAGGCATACCTATTACCCACACATTACCTAAAGTAAAAAAGCAAGCCATGACGCTACATAAAAAACACAAATAACAGCCAATTAAATGAAATAGGTTAGATTGTCCGTAACAGTGTAGGTACAGTGTATAAGAGTAAAAATCTTCATCTTGCCTATCTGAGCTTTTGATGATGTTCTTTGTCAATGCCCTGCTCATTCTGTCTGATGCTTATGAATCAAGGCCAAGGCCGATGAAAATTTCCCAAACGACTATTTTAGGTCATTAGACAAAATATCCACACCGTTAATCACAGGGGCTAGACAGTGGTTTTGCATATAGGACAGCGCTACACTATACAAGTACACAATCTCCACCTGATGCAGTGTCCTATCACTTTTATCTGTCCCCGCTGACCCACTTAAGTCCCTTCTCCTAATATCGCTCTCCTACATCTTATCACACACTTAGACTTTATGCACTGCAGCACGGGTTCTCCGGCATGGCGATGGCCTTGTCGCACACCTTGTTGAAGATGGTGTCAAAGTACTCGTCGTGGCACCTGTCTCCGGCCACGAATTCCTCCTCGCAGCGCCAGCTGTCCTCGTTGATGGTGGTGCTGTTGGACCTCCTGTCGCAGTCCTCGATGTGGTGCAGCTTCATCAGCATGTGCGAGGTCCATACCTGCACCGGCGTCATCATCCTGGCGAGGGAGGGAGGGTGGTCAGTCGGAGCCGGGCTGCTGGCCCTCCGCAAAAGGTGGGAGAGACGGGTGGGAGATGACTTTGAGTTTACACAAGACACAAGGCACTTGTATTGTGGTCCACACAAGTAAAAAATGACGTCATTGATTAAGTCACATAACTTATTGCAATGCATATGTCCGAAGTTTAAAACGCAACTAATAACATAGCCACCTTCGGCGACGCTGAAAATCAAACAATATAGGTATCAGTCGCATAAATAAATATTGCAATGGTATGTTTGTGCATTAGTTGGTACACATTGTACGCGTAACACCGATTGCATGCTCCGCATTGCGCTCACGTCTGTTCCATGATGAGCGCGTTATACTCCTGCAGCAGGTCGTTCCGGACCATGGAGTTTTCCGGAATCAGTTCGTCGGTCACCGGTTCATGGATCTTCCAAACCACCTCCATCCGATAATTCTGAACCAAGCTGATCAGCATTGGCAGAAGACGCTCGTATCCCCGCTGGAATTTCCTGTCAAAGGTAGTCATAGGATCACAGTTAGTGCATTATATATCATCAATCGATATCAAAGCGTCACCGGCTTCAATACCCAAAGCTGCAGTTTTGTGACGCCTCAGAGAATTGCATGCTTTTTATTTGGAATGCGTTTAAACAAAGTCACTTGGCTCGAACATGTTGTTCTGGTGCTTGGCTTTGAACAATTATGTTCGGCCATTAAGTCAGAAAGTCATTACGTACGTGAGATAGGCAACCGTAACTACCACAATTACCGCCATAGCAAACCGCCATAGCCCGGTGTTGATGGGGTTCACAGGGGTGGCGGGCGGCTCGGCGGGTCTGCTCACCTGACGCCGGTGAAGCTGTCCAGCAGGGTGGAGTTCAGCAGCTCCCCGATGCCGCCCGACATGATCAGGATGTCGCCCTCGCAGCCGTGCTCCGCACAGTCGGCCGTCAGGTGGTTGACGTAGCTGAACACGTCCTCACCCATCTGACCAATGAACCTGTAGTCCTGCAGAACAACGGATGCAACCGAGTCAGCACATATTGCAGTCATACTTTAAGTTTATAGTCTGATTTCAGCATTATGTCTTGCCGTGTCGTTAATTTTGTAAGAAACGAGCGTTGGAATCGCTCACCATCGTCATTCCCTGCCGGCTGTAGGACATCTCGCAGTAGTCGCTTCCCTTTGGCAGTTTCACGGTGTAGTATGGCACTTGGTCGGAGTCAAAGTTCTTTGGCGTGGCCGGGGCTTTGACCAGCTGACAGCCCTCTTTGTCAGTTGTAGCGATAAGTCGCCCGCGCAGGTAGTCGGCCAGAAATGCCTCCCGTACGTGGCCGGCTATGTGCAGTTTAAAGGCGCGGCCCCGGGACGCCTCCCTAGCTCGCAGACACTGCGATACCAGGCTGTCGACAGAGTGAGACAAGTTACAAAGGGCTAGGTGATAGAGCTGAGTTATAGGAATATTTTTTGTATTTTACCGGCATGATTTTTTTATGAATTGCTAGCTTACATGTCCGGAACAAGGTCAATAAAACGTTACCTACTTATGTGATGAATGTAGGCAGAAAGAGGAAATCATTAGCATTTACTGTCGATGATAGTTCTATATAGAATTCATCCCGCAGCATATGTGCTGTCGGCATGTGAGTAGGTATTTTATGCTCACCTCTCGGTCATCACTTCATAGCCGCAGCGGTAGATGGGTGACGTGAAGTTGGTCTGCCAGCGGAACTTTGGGCAGCCGATCCTCCAGACACAGTCGCAGGTACTCTCCTCCTCCGGCAGCTCATCCACCGCGGACCGGGAGCTCTCCGAGCGGAACAGCCATACCCGGCCTCCTGGTAACGGCACAGGGACCTCAGCTGACGGCCGAGAGAGCGGCCCTGAGCCTCACTGAGTGGAGGCTAGAGCGGCGGAATTACCGCTCGGACCGTGAAAATCGTGACTGCATACCCGAGACTGGCGACTGAGTGGTGGTATGAACAGGAATCAGTGCGCACGGCATAACGGAACGGTAATGATGGGAGTCGGACAGCGAGACTGGTTCCAGGAAGTTGTTTATTTGGCATAGCCACCCAGGCCTATTAGTGGGTCAGAGCTAGCATTTTATTTCGGTGTCGAAGACGAATAGAAATAAGGTTTGTTTCGACGGCAATGAGTAGGAACTGTCTCCAATAATCGCTTAATCAAAAGTTGTGTTTGTGTTATGTTGGTCATTTTAGTCTAGACACATCTGCCTTAGCTTAACCTTTTCATGTAGCTTTCTGTTTGTGTTTAATAGGTAGGGACTGTTTCAGCGACCTAACGTTTTCTTCACTTTCCTTTCATGGTGTTTTTGATGACCGACACATCTGTATTAAACATACCAAAAAGCGCCTTGGAAGTTGGAACCCTGGTGCACATCACCGTACCTATCTGACATGTAAAAAAGTTCTCAACATCCGGCTTCTATAAAAATGTCGGGAAAGGTGTCTTCTTATTTGCTCATAAATCGCATATTTTATAACGAAATACACAGCATTCAATAGGTACAGTCCACAGCAGAAGTAATGTGTGGTTTCAGTCATGGGTATGTCCTGCTTCTGAAGCCTAGGAACGATTAGCCAGACTGCAACGAGACTTTAAATGTAGCTTACATGTATCTTCACCCTTGCAGCTACAACTTTATCTACTGACGTCTTCTTTTCAATCAGTCCGCATTTAAAAATCGTCGGTCAAAGCCATCCGTTGAGATTGGTAAAACCACACATTACTTTAGCGGTGGGCTGTACCTGCTGAGGTGAGGGCCGTTTTGGGGCCCATGGCTAAGACCTCGGACGTCAAGGGTGCATACTTCTTGGAAATTGGTATGCTTGATAAAGTAAGCGTCCTCAGTGGTAGATTCATATCAAGCAATACAGCCACAGTCACGATGTATTTACAGCGAACAGTATATGTTCAAACCTATACCTACATCTGCTAGGTACTATGCTCCTCCGAATCACGTCAGGACAAATTTCACTCATACCTATCATCTACTATAGTTTTTTTTACCCGTAGAGGTATATCGCTAATTGTCCAGTATGTATTACACCGAGTCCAACTTCTCAGGCACATAATATGCATCATCATAGTAAGTGAAGTGATTTTAGCACTTTTTCTGGTAATTCCCACTTCCCAGGCACTTGCCCGTGCGAGTTTGTGGTAATAAACTTCACAGGCGTACGGTGGTGGTTATACCTTAGTGCCATATTGCATGTGATTGAAATAAACCTTCCGCTGTCTTATTCCCACACTTCTAGCAGTACATATACCACAGTTTTGGCGACAAATAAGCACAAGCAGGTAAGCAGCAGTGCAGAAAATGGACCCTGCAAAGTGTTTCTCAGAAACCAAACTGTCTTGAGCGAGTCAGTCATCTATACCTACCGCTTTGTATGAGCGCACCAGCTTTCGGATGTAATGTATGTTCGACTGCCAGGATGTAAGCCACTGAGTAGCATTACAGCCTGGGTCGGGATGGGTCACTGACACAAAAAACCGTTATTGAGGTGCGGCTAGGTAATATTTGCATCGCGCTACAAACCTTAGCTTGAAGATTGAACATTTGCTTCTCGCACACTTGAATACTCACGGGCCTTGAACGGTGAGGTAACCACACCAGTAGTTATCAAAACGATGAGTAGAATGCAGGCTGCCACAAATATGATCACCGCCGTGCGCAGGTGCGATTTATTTGCGGCCAAACTATTGAAAACCATAGCTCTGATCTGAAACAGAACAAATATCACCAGAGGTCAATGTAATGCAAGAGAAGTGGATCGGCGGCTGGGTAGAATGACGTCATACAAAGTAATATAAAAAGGATTTAGGGTAAGGCTGACTATGTTATCAAGAACTCTCCCGAAAAAATGAGCGCCTTTCTTTCCCCTCAAGCAGACAGCATTTCCAGTCAGTTCACACCATGTCTTTAACACCCTTTCATCTCACCCACCAAGTGGGTACGCAATACATCTACATATGACATATGTCACCTAACGTCTTTTTGTTGCCGATCAACAACCATCCGTCTCTGCCAACAGATTTTAGTCGGAAATATCGACAATTATGTTACACCTCTCAGACGGCATGCCTTTAGATCCACCCTTGATCTGAGATCCTCTTTGCTGCTCCTCCTAGCTAGCCTGCCTCCGTTTACCATTTTTTTCAACATTTTCATCCTTAAACTGATGCATTGCAATCAATGTTTGCAATAAAACGACAACAAAAAGCAGTTCAAACACTGGTCTGCAAATGCCACTAAGATAAGAGGATAAGAGGATAGCGTGAAAGATGAGAGGATAGCGTGAAAGACCACCACAAGCTTGTGTCTTTTTTTTACTGACAGTATAAGAAAAGACGTCCAACAATAACATAACGAAATAAAGATAAAAGCATATAACACTTTAACCCTCGCCAGGCGATGGTCTTTTACATTTCCCATACATGCAACATTGCACGTTTAAATCGAGAAAGCCAGGCATTAACCCACGAGCCGCTGGGGGGGGGGCATAAAGTTGCCCCCCCTTTACGTTTTGTGAAATATCTCCGAAACCTGATGAGCTGTGAACGTGAAACTCGGCATAGCTTCAAATGAATACCTAGGCAATGTTTGAGGATAGTTTGGTGGTTGTAGCACCTAACATGACGTCACAGTGACGTCATAAATTTTTGTCGTTTTCCGATATGGACCGTTTCTGATGACGCTGAGCATGAAACTCAACTGTAAATGAACTAGACAGCACCTGCTGTCATCCTAAAACATCTAACTACACTTCCATCTAGTTTCTGACCAATAATCGACCCTTTATATTCGGTCCCATATATCTGATGTATCGTGAGGAATATGAGAGTCGCAAATCTATAATTTCACTTATGACGTCACTGTGACGTCATTTCAAATGGGATCGACACCAAATTTGGACACAACCTCGGCTAGGTATTCAGGAAAATGTGTGCGAAGTTTCGCTTCTCTATCTCTTCGCGTTGCAACGATATCGTAGCAGAAGTAAAGGGGGGGGGGCAACTATATCCCCCCCCCAGCGGCCGGCGGGTGGCGCGGAGGCCCAGCGGCCGCCGGGTTAAAATGGCACGTGCATTATACTACACTTTTGTAACATACAAGAAGTCAATGCTGATTGGTTTCCGAGACATGCAGGAAAATATGTTTTCCTGCATCTCTCGACGTTTTCCTGCACCCCTCGACGTTTTCCTGCACCTCTCAAACATACGAGGCCTGATCAAAAAGTATCCGACCCCATTGGTTTGCTCGAAGGCCATTAGGCTCAGGTGTGTGATACCCTGTGTGGATGATACCTTAATCGCTGTGCACATGTACACATATTTTCAGCGTCCACGTCCAGCTCAGTCACTGTCCAGCGTTGCTTGTATGCACGTGCCTACTGCTCGGTCGTCGCATTTCCTCCCAGCGTCAAGATGACCGAAAGAAATGAGCCAAAGATATTGCTTCAAATTTTGTCAGAAACTTGGGGAAACGCAGTCCGACACTATCAGAAAAGTTCAGTTGACATTCGGCGATGAAGCGATGGGCGTTACCCAAATCAAGTTCTGGTACAACCGCTTCAAGAACGGTCGAGGTTCAGTAGAGAGCGACATGCGGCCTGGCAGGCCCTCGACGAGCAGAAATCCTGAAATTGGTGTTGACGACGGTGACGATCAGGGTGTTGTTCATCATGAGTATGCTCCAGAAGGTCAGACGATCAACAAACAATCCTATCTGGTAGTTCTGCGTCATCTACGGGACGCGGTGCGGCGTAAGAGACCGGCGTTGTGGGCGACGCAGGACTGGCAGCTTCACCATGACAAAGCGCCAGCCCACTCAGCCCATCTCGTACAGGAGTTTCTGGCCAAGCACGGCATCACGCAGGTGCGGCAGGCCCCACACTCACCTGATATAGCCCCATGTGACTTCTGACTGTTCCCCCAGTTGAAAATGCCGCTGAAAGGCAGCAGATTTCAGGACACAAAGGGGATCAAGACGAATGCGACAATGGCCCTGTTGGCGACCGCGAAGAGTGACTTCTCACAGTGCTTCCAGCAATGGAAGGGCAACTGGGCTAAGTGTGTAGAGTCGCAAGGGGCGTACTTTGAGTGAGAATACAGTTCGAACTCTGTAAGCATTCGCGTTTATTGTTTGGGGACAAAGGTCGGATACTTTTTGATCAGGCCTCGTATGACGTCAGTATGAATGACGTCACATCATAAAGTTGAAGAGCATCACTTTGCTCCTTATAACTTCATTTTATCTATCGTCCATTTTATTTGATTGGCTTATGATACACCTACCTACATTGTGTTTGATACAAGGATTTAATTATTTGTCATGAATAAAGTGAAACATCACCATATAAAACTTGAACTTTGACGTTATTTCTTTGTTGCCTCAATTTCTTCAAGGGCCTTTTCCATCACGCCTTCAAGAACGTCTTCTTTATCTGACTCCATAGCCATTAAAGACTCAACAAGGTTGAAAATGGGGCGTTTTGGTTCCTCCATAACATTTGCAACGCTCCCTAAAATGTTAGCATGTATGGGAAATAGCTTCCTGCCCTGAGCTGGGAAAATTTAATGGTGTCACCTCGTATTTTAATCGAAAGTACCTCGGGCCTACCGGCCCTCGGTACTTTCGATTAAAAACCTCGGTGACACCATTAAATTTTCCCAGCCCCGGGCAGGAATGTATTAACACGGACGGCGATGGGGGGGGGGGGGGGGTACGACCCCCCTCCCCTGGCGATTGGCTCCTATGGCACTTAGAAACACGAAACTTACAGGGTAGATGGGTCTATAGGAGGTCTCGCTCCTGTGCAAATTTGGTTGCTCTAGGTCAATATTTAGGGGGGGTTTGGGGGGGTATAAGTGTAAATTTTTTGCTAAAACAGGCCAAAAGTTTTTCGCTTATAACTTTTGATCTAATTAAGATAGAGCAAAAAGAAAAGCACAGTGAACTCAGCACGTCAAGGCGCGTCGAATGATATACTTGTTTGCTTGCATAAGTGTACTTAAAATGTTAAGCACATCTTAAGTTCATCTTAAGTCTTAAGAATGGTCGAAATGCTTAATGTTGCATATCATTCGACTTGGCTGTTCAAGAGGAACAGAATGATGTCATTTTGAAAGCTTTATCTTTATTGTGTGACAAGTTATTGGCACAAACGTCATTTGATCTCAGTTGACCTCATTTGACCGGACCCATGGACAAGTACACCAAACAAAGAAGCACCAAGTGACATAATGTTAAGTACTGTTGTTTCAAAGCACCAAAGTGATATAAGGAAGCGGATATCGCCAGTATTTTCCTAATTAAATATTTTCCCATAGGCTTAACATTACGACGTAATGACCTCTAACTGACCTCAGGTCAGCGACATGAAAAAACCAACTATATGTTATACAACTCGGTGAACTTAGGACATCCTGAAAGTTTGAAGGAAATCAGTTCAGAACTGTGAGTTGGACAGGTGCATAGAGAAAATTGAAATTTAACCATGACCTTGTACCGGTTTTTCTGACCTGGTGACCTGACCTGAAACGGCAGAGACCTGAAATTTGCAGGGAAAGTGCCAAAAGGTTGCCCCAGATGGTATGCCAAATTTGGCGGCGCTACGCGCCGCCGTTTTTACGTTATTTGCGAAGAACCTTAGGGGGGTTGCATCAACCCCCCCTCGCCGGGCGAGGGGGGGTTGTCATACACCAGTCATATTCGAATTCTTTTAACAGAATTTTATCAAGTGATAAATGTTTAAGGCTTGCGTAGAATGGTGTCTCGAGGCATTATATAACTAAATGTTTTCACCAAGGCTGTAAAGGATACAGTTATAAGGTGGCGTCTAGAGCTTTGCAATATGCATGTATAATTTTGATAGCAGTTCTGATACGGATGAGAGATGTGCATCTGCTGGTGTTGTTGTTTAGATAAACTTACCTTGTGTGTCACTCCTCAAAGTCCACGGAAAGGGTTATATAATTCGATCACCACTCCGTCGTTCGGCTTCCCACTGCTGCACTGCTTCCCACAACCCCCAGCACTGCTGTCTTCTCTCCCCTGCACTGCTTCCCACCGTCCCAACAATCGCGCCACACCCGGCGCCCGGTGCTATCTCCGACTGGCGCGTCGCAGTCTCTCGGTGCTAGCGCCCGCTGCCACGGTGCAGTCTCCAGCGGCGGCCATTGGAGGCTGGGGTCGGGGCACCGCGCGCGGCGGTCTGAGGCCGACCGCCTGGCCATACCAACAGGTTGGAGAGCCGGGGGCGGGGTGGATGGCCGCGTCGGGCCCGCGTCATACAGAACTACGCGCTAGAAACTACGGACGATGAGTCGGCACCTGTCGAAGTGTTCGTCATGAACAAGAATAACGGGATGGCTCTGAGCAAGGTGTAGCGTTGCTTTATGTAAAGCGACCGTATATGACTTGCATTTGTCTGGCGGTGGTTTGAATAAATCGTCAGAGTGACTTTGAACATAATAATTTCGAATGAATATGGAAAGATATATCTGTAGAACATACAACATGCGATAAGGATCACAATATCACAATAGCCTCGCGACAATTTTACTGAACTGAAAACTTTTGATTGAGGACAGTCCCAAGTATAGTACCTATAAGTTTCATTAGGCACAAACCAAAAGGTGACAGTTTCAGCTTCGTGTAGGCATTGTTACCTCCTGATCAGCGCACTCCAGCCGGCGTCTCACGCATAGCGGTCCGTTCCGGGCCGGCGGCCCACTTTCCGTTCCGGCCCACCGATGGCGACCTGGGACACGAAGCGTCGGCCCACCGAACCGTGCCACGGAGGCAGCTCGGAGCTGACACATATTGTGTCATATGGCGGCTCCAGGGCGATATACCACCACGCTCGCGACGCAAATACAGTCGTCTGCTAAAGCAGCAATGCCCGATGTTCATAATTCAGGTTAGGAGTTAAGTGGTGTTTTTTTAAGTAACGGTCGCCTAGTTCATTTCTAAAATTGTGTAATCTTCATTAACCCGGCAGGCGGTGGGCCTACCAGCCACCTTCCGCGCGGTGGGGGGGGGGGGCACTTTTTTGCCCCCCCCCGTATCTCCGAAACTACTGGACGGATCCGAAAAATTCAAACGGCGTTCGATAGCGCTGTCAAATTTGTTGAGAAAAACCAAATTTCATTGACCTCGGGGTCACCGATGACGTCACAGGTCAGGTCAAAGATAAAATGTTTCACCGTTCTAGGGAAAGCGCTATAACACCGAGTAAAACGCATTTTCTCGAAAATCAGCGATAAGGCATCAGTTGTCTAGTACATATGTTGCTATTAGAGGTCACTGGTCATACCAGGTCAGGTCACAGGTCAGGTCACCAAAGGTCACCAAGGGTCACCACCTGAGCCCAACTTTACTAAGGTTATGCAATGCATGTTTTATGGCCAGTTTTTCATTTCCAGCTCAATGGTGTTGGTTATAAAGCCATCAGGTACGGTTTAGGTCACTTGCTGGTGGAGGTCAGGTCAAGGTCAGGTCAAAAAAAGGTCAAATTTCAAAGTTGATATTTTTGCATAAAATGGGTATCGATTCGATGCAGCTCGTCATGGGGAGTCTTATGGTGGTCTTTGTTTTGCGCTACGAGGTCTAGAATTGCTAAAAATTGAGTTTGAAAATTTGACGTCATCAATTTTGAACAGTTTTTTCGCTATAACTTGGCCAAAAAAAGAGGTATCGATCTCAAATTTGGTATGAAGATAGAAGGCGGTAGGGGCTATCACATGTATTCCGGTTTTTTCGAAATTCAAAAAACTTTTTGGATTTTTTGGCTATTATATTCAAAAAATCTATTTTTTATTTTTGGGGGTCAAAATCCAAAAAATTCGAAAAACCGAAATACCAATTTTGTAGCCCTTTTAATTCCACACCTTTTATGTTTGAAGCATTTTTCTCTATCTCTAAAGATGTAGGCCTGACAGCTCTTCCCGCGAAACCTTTTTTTGGGTCGAAAATGGCAAAAATGACGTCACTCTGACGTCATTATCGGCCAACCTATCATAGCCTTTGGAAAAAATTTTGGTCACCATGTGCGCTAGCTGCTCCCGGGAGGGTACTGAAAGTTTGGTGACGATCGGCGCAGCGGTTCTCGAGATATATCGAAAAAACTAAAGGGGGGGGGGGGCAAAAAATGCCCCCCCCCCCACCGCCTGGAAGGTTAAACAAATTGTTGCGATGGATTGACTCTAATTATTCAAAGTGCACTGTACAGGGTTGTTTGAAATTGGTGCAGTCTATCTCTGAAACGATATTACAAGCAAACGGGATGAGGTTGATTTTTTAGGCGAAAAAACTACGTTATGTGGAAAGTCATCTGTAGTAGTTATTGCAGTCGATATAAAGTGCATTACATATTACATTGAAGTCGAAATTGCCTGACTTCGAAGGTACTTACCTTCGCCTAGTTAACCCTCGCCGGACCTATTGGTTTTCTACATACGCGCCGGCCGAGGGGGGGGGGGGAGCGGGTACGACCCCCCTCGCCGTTTCGCCCCTGGTGGAGCTAGCGCGTCGCGGAAAAAACGAGCGTGTGCGCCGTTACGAGACGCAGAGATTGGTACCCGATTTTAAGGTCCTAGGTCAACCGGTGACCTCTGAGGTCAGGTCAAGTGCCCCAGGGTACGGTTCAGTTTTTGGTGAATAACTTCGCAAAAAACGGCCGCAGGGCGCCGATTTTGGCAGCATCGTGTTCGCCTCGCTCAGGCGCGTCGAATGATATACTTTTTGTCCGGGTCAGGTCAACTTGGGGTGTTGACCTCAGGTCAAGGTCAGGTCAGCACCCCCAGGTCATGAAGTTGGTCGAAAGAGGTCATGTCGCATATCATTCGATTCGGCAGGTCTTCCTGAGTCCATTGGTGGCTTTCCCGACTCGCTAGCTCAATTTGATCAAGAGTTATTGACGAAAAACTAATATGACCTTGATGACGTCATAAATGACGTCACGCAAGGTCAATATTGCAAAAGTGACGCATCGAACCTTGCAAGGAGTGCATAAAATCACGATTCTGTGTGCTTGAGATAGTTGGAGGTCGTTCCCGGCGCCAGAATAGCAGTTTGAATTTTTCCCCATTGACTTATAATGGTGAGGTCACGAAAATGACCTGACCTCATATGACCTTTAGGAAAAATCCGAGATATACAAGTTGTGGGACTCATAATGGATACTAGATCCTGCAAGTTTCATTTCCCTGTGACATCTCCTCTGGCAGTGAGGGCGTTGCGAAGTTGCGACATCTGAAGACCGTGCAGAGGTTCACTTATGACGTCATAGGTCAGTGACCTGACCTGACCCAAAAATGCGGTTGGTGTCAAAAGATCCGGCTTGGATCAAAGGTCAGGTATGCCAAGTTTCAGCTCTCTATCGCCAGCGTGTTCGGAGCTATCGCGAAAAAACCCTATGGGGGGGCGGCACCCGCCCCCCCCCCCTCGGCCGGCGAGGGTTAAAGGTAAATGCCACATTGGTAGGTTTAATCCGTGCCCTGCTGGGCCTGGGGGGGAAGGGGAGGGAGTGTTTGAACACCCCTACGGTTTTTCAGCACACATCATTATGCATCTTTTTTGCATATGTTGTATAAATTCAGACCGAGGTCACTCAAGGTTAGGTCTCCAGGTCACGTCAAGTGACCTCAACTCATAAAAAAGTTTCAATGTCTGCAATAGATACACCAAGTGACCGATCGCGTTGACACTTTCAACGATTAATAAGAGCAACAGTGTGTAAGTACAAAATGTAAATCTCGGAATTCTTATATCGGTTACCTAAGGTCAGGTCAATTTTGCGACCTCTTCGTTTCAAGTCAATGGGAGAAAATTGAAAGGCGCCTCATTTGGACGAACGTGTGGACGAACTAAACACTATCAAACAGCGAATTACAAGTACAAACTACACACTGAACTGGAAAATGGCACCCGTGACCCCTCTTTGTGTCCCTGAGGTCATCTCAGGTCACGTTTGTTATGTAACAGTTTTTTACGAATTTAATAAATTTTGATAGAAGCATGCTAGGGCAATGAAAACGCATTAAATGTGTTCAAATCAACGCTATCGATCGACTGATATGCAACATGACCTTTTCCGGTCAGGTCATGACCTTGAACTGAGGTCAAATTTTCAAGTTGATCTTTCATGGTCAAGTTATAGTTCATTCGATGCGTCTTGACCACAGGAACAGGATGCCGGTAAAAGTAAGCTCGTGCAAGGTTGGAGCCAAAAGTTATTGCATACAAACTCTCCGAAAAAATCGTCTTTTTGTGAGCTTTTACCCCTGTAGGCAAAACCGCGGACGGCAGGTCAAATCTGAGGAAATAATTCAGAAAGAGCGGTAACCCGCGCCCAGCTGGGGGGGGGGGGCAGAATCTACCCCCCTCCCGTTTTTCGCCAATAACTTCTAAACCCGTTACGCCAGCAACGTCAAACTTTCAGTACCTTATCATACATCAATTTATGACGTTTCCTGAACCTTTAAGTGAAATCCGTCGGGAAATTGCTGAGAAAATGACGTTTTAGTGACGTCATGTTCGCCATTTTCGCCTAAAAACGGCAAAATTTCAAACGCCGCTAACATCTTCATTTTTACAGGAATCAAGACGTAACATAAAAGGTTATACGTGATTTTATGTTGTCTATCAAATGGCTGTCTCGGTTTTTTTGAAAATTTTGGTTTTTGGCCCATTTTTTAACCTATTTTTTGGGAAAATAATAATAAGATACAAAATTTTGAGTGTATCGAAAAAACGGAATATATGTCAGAGAAGTGGTCTATGTGCATCTACATACCAATTTTTAGAAGAATCGGTTCAAAAATGTGGGAGTTATTCAAAATGTTATGACGTCACGACACACAATTTTTTTTTTAAATGATTTTTTGGAAGTTCTAGCCCTCGTACGGAAACAAATAGAGCACCATTCGATTCGCCGTGAAAAATTGCAGCAGAGAGACACCAATTGTTAGGCCTTAAAAACCAACTTCAAAATTTGACCTCACTTGACCTGACCTCGAACTGAAATTCATCCAGAGGTGGTCCATATCACTTATTGAGTGTGCCTATTGAATTCTATGAATAAAATGACCCATGAAACATGTGTCGCACATGCCCTTTCTTTATTTTGTTTTTGGTGACCTGACCTGACCTGGCCTTGACCTTGACCTTTGAATGATATTGTATGCAACGAATATTGTCTTGGTAGCCTAAGAACATGTTTTGGGCAATCAGTCTCAGTCCATTCTTCGGCAACTACGGTGCAAGGCCGATACTGCAGAAACTTGCATTTTGTACCCTTGACCTGACCTTGACCTGACCTCTGACCTACTTAAGCAAAAAAAAAATTGGGCTCTTAAGATCCGCATTGTTGAGAGCTTTCTACGACCATCAGTTTGGAAGTTAGACAGGGGGGGGCAGAATCTGCCCCCCCCCCGCCCCCTCCCGCAGGGCCCGTATGGCTGAATAGCCCAGCGGGGCGCGGGTTAATAGAGCTATTAAATACGCTTTTCCGGGGCTGAAGCTCTACATTCGACCTGAAAATTGGCGAAATTTGGCCTTCGATTAACTTTGGTGACCTGACCAAAGAAGTGGCCGAAGTAATTTCGTCATGATTTTTTACGTTCTTTCGAAGCCGACTTCCCTGTATCGCTATACGGCCCAGGAACTGAGTTATGAAGAGGGTGTCCAAACGATGTTCCATATACCCTGGGTCAACCCACCCCCAACCCCCACCACCACCCACCAGCAGGGCGTGGAAATCCAGGGGCCCAGCGGGGTGCGGGTATGGAAACAGGGTTGTGAATTCGACGGGTTTTCAGTGACTAGAGCTCCACGCCAATTCCGACCTCATAAAATCAACTTCCGCTCGAGACTCCAATAACGACTCCGGGCATCCGGAAATGCCTTTGAGGGTCTGACGCTGTAGTGAGATGACCTCACACCGGGTTGAGAGGGCTCAGGAGTCTTTGTTCCCACTCACAGGCGGCTGACCCCACCCACAAACCCCTCACAGGATCTCCAGCTCTGATGCGTCCCGTTCTCGACCAGCTGCAAGTTGCACCGATAATTCAATATCGTAATCAACGCTCGCCGTGTAACGAGGTCATCAAATATGAGCTCACTATTGCAATAAGCTAAGAGAAGACCGAGGATCAGAGTATAACCCGCCGAATTTCGACACTGACTTTGGAGTAGAAGTCGATTTCTTCTTTGGCTTCGGAGTTCGGAGTAGAAGTCAGTGAGGTTTCGACGAGTTCGACTCCTACAACGACTCCGACTTTGCAGCCCTCAATAGAATGTAGACCGGCTTGGGCCCAATATCCGACGGATATTCAGACCAGTGACGTGACCTGTGGGTGGTCCGATATAGACAGCGGATGAAAAGAAAATGTTAGGTGGCCAGTGACATACACCGAACACTAGACAGGCGATTAAACGAGAAAAGGCCCAGTGATTAATATGTGTGTGTGTGGGGGGGGGGGGGAGGGGACCGTCAAGCGGCACCAAGATGTAGGTGAACATTACAGCTACACCACTGCTTCCCTTTTGGGGCGTTGAGCTCGTTTTTCACGTCGTGGTGATCATGCCCAAGGTCGATCACGATTCACGACGATCGCACCAAATCGTATTTCACATCAAAAGCGACGAGCGTGTTCCACCTTCCTCCTTTCCGCCAGATCGGATTCTACGCTTCCAGACCTACAACAGCTAACCCACTTCCAAAGACAGCACCATTGTACGAGTCTCGTATGCAGTTCGTTATGCACTCAAATAAAACGTGTTAAGCACTTCTGGGCCTGGTTAAAGGGACCCTCCCACCTTCAAAAAAGTTAATGAATTGGCATGAAAGTGATGTCGCTCGGTTCAGAAAGAGCAAAAACGAATATCTACCAAATTTCATCGAAAAATATTCACCGGTTTCCAAGATATTAGACTTTTACTTTTGTTTACTTTTTGGGATCTCTGCTGTTCCTAGCGACTTTATTTGAAAGTGCGGCATTTGTTGCGCGCAAAGCAGCATATACCACCGCGTGCTACAAAACGTTTTAGTCAAACATTTAACGGACGTTCGAAAGCCTGATGACGTCATCAGATTCCCGTAATGGTTAAGAGATAGGGACCACGCTGGTCCCACCCTGCAAGTAAAAGGAAGAAATTTCTTGAACACCATAAAGCTGCGGGGGTTGCGACCAGGATAAATGGTGGTTTCTGAGCCTGGCCGCAAACTTGGCTATCTCAACTCAAAACTAATGTTAAGGTGGGAGGGTCCCTGATCGCCAGACTTTTTAGCGTGTTTCCATCCTCTCTTCCCACCATCATCATTAGACTACAAGATAGAGATTAATATACATCGCTGTATGTATTTCCGCTTCAAACAACGCTATGTACAATATACAAACAATGGATGCCCTCAGTGTCCGGTCGTGCTCGGTAGAGACGACCGGGTCACATGTCACAGGTCAACACGCGGTCACCAGCGCTGCACCGCCTCTGAGCGCAGCGGCAGCCGGCGGCGGCGAGGAAAGGAGCGCAGGGAGGGGCAGGGGGTGCGGTAGGAGACACCGTCCGAAACCGGTGTGTGTGCACGCGCCCCGGTGATGCGAAAAATTCATTTGTGACCGCAAACCACCATACGCCCCACCACGGCGCATTCATTAACGCTCTGCAAAGGAGATAAAAACCTCAACGTAAAAGCACCAGCCGCCGTGCCCGGCAGCGACAGTGTTCCCCTCTGGAGGGGGGCGGCCGAGACTCTGCCGCCGCTCAGGTTGACCAGACCATCCACGCACTTTGTACTCTGCGAGACGAAAGCTCATAGGCGCTTGGAGCGGCACGTGCCTGTCGCTCCGTGCCTGACGGCCGGGCGCGGGGGGCGACTCGGTCGGCGGTCCCTCCGTCCCAGCGTCTCATCGCCAGCACTAGCGTCCGATAGTAGCGCCCACCACGGCGTGCATAGCACGGAATCTGCACAGTTCATAAAGCCGCGAGTCGGCGCCGGAAAGCGTCCACGAGCACCGCGCACTATCACGTCGTCTCGGCGCCGGCCGTCCGTTCGCCCGAGCGTCACGGCGTAACGTCACGTCACGTCTCAGCCGCCCCGCCGGACGTGGCCAAGGTACATACTGACTAGATGGTTGGACGAGGCGCCGGCGTACGACGATCAGCCGACCCCGAGCCGTCTGTAAACTCCGAGACGCACTAGACGCTCCCGAGCTTCGAACGTCAGAGCCTCGGGGCGTCTTGTGTCCATTCCGGATCGGCCTCCGGAGTTGCGGTCGCGCCCCAGCCGTCTCGGAGCCGCCGCCCGGGGTCCACTCGGAGCAGGCGCCGGCTAGTTGCTCGCCTCTGTCCCGTTGCTCTCATCGTGGAAGCCGGCCGGTTCGACCTCGTCGCCGTCGCCCAGCGGCGCGTCCATTAGCGCGTCCACCTCGCCACTCTCCAGGTGCTTCTTCTGGTGTAGAACCATGTTGTTGCGCCACCTAGCGGAGCGATCAGAATGTTAGCTTCCGACGCCCGACATAGGTGACGCTCAATGTTTCAGTCGCTTCAATAGCACAGAAAAGGACGAGAAGTTAGGGCACAACAAAAATAAAAGACGCCTGGAAGCTAGGATTAACAAAGAAAGGTACAGCCAACCAGCAGCAACCAGACATCTAGTGATTCATGCTCGGTTACGAAAAGAGACACCGATCATTTCATCACGTCAAGAGCCGTGGACGCGGACGGTGATTTTAACTACACGTACAAATATTTCCGCTTGAACCCTTTCCCCATCCTACTCCGTCCATTCCTGTCCTCTCTTGATCTTCTTTTCCATCCTCCCCTCCCCGCCGCCACAAACCTGAAGAGCCGCCCGCAGAACGCGCAGTGGTAGGGCTTCTCGTCCCGGTGGATCCGCATGTGGGCCAGCAGATTGGAGTTGCGCGCGAACGCTGTGCCGCACACTTGGCAGGCGAAAGGCTTCTCTCCGGTGTGTGTGCGCATGTGCTCCACCAGCTGGATCCGGTCGAAAAAGTCCTTATCGCACTGTGTGCACTTGTACTCCTGCAAGGTGGTACGGGGGGGGGGGGAAGGAGGTTTGGTAGTTAGTGAGATGAGCGAGGGTAACGGGGAGAGATGACGGAATAATTATCTTGATGTAATTACGTTAAGGCACTTAGACTGAATTGGTCAATAACACCACAAGATGTCAAAAGACAGAAAGAAAGCAACAGATTATGGCTGTTATGCAACTCTTTCTTTACCAGCCCCTTATCAATAGCCCTCCTCCAATAAGGCAGTGTTGACCCTTCCCAAACGACAGTGTGCCTCCAAACCTCCCCCGAATCTTCCCGACCTTACCTTCTCTCCAGTATGTTGAGCGATATGCCTCTGCAGAGATCGCTTTGTGGACAGCACGCGCGAACAGAACGTACACGTCAGCTCTCCCGAGTGCTGCATCAAATGATTCGCCAGCATGTTCTTCACAGGGAACATTTCCCCGCACTGACCGCACGCGTACGGCTGCTTGCCGTCGTGGATCTTCCTATGCGCCAGTAGTTTGTACTTGGCCACAAACTCCTCGCCACAGTCGGGACACTTGTGGTACGGGGAGGAGGTGGTCAGTAGCGCGTCCTTTTTGTGCCGTTTGCTCGGACTGGCGTTGGTCGAGTCGAGCACCAGATGTCGCCGTTTGGCCGAGGTGCCGGCTGCGACGGCCGTCTCCTCAGGCTTGGCGTCATCGGCGGCAATCTGGTACTCGATCACCTGACCACCTGGGGGGGGGGGGGAGGGGTGTGTCAGAGGGGTCACGGAGATGGGGTACTGTTGATACCCTGGTAGATCGGAGGGAAGAATGGGGCTCAGCTTTCTCAGCAGGTTGTGTCACTAAGGACGGCAGAAGGGGAAATAAAGTATCTTTCATGGTAATTCAAATAACTTTTTGAAATAAGTAGAGCACGCTTGTCAAATCGCCTATCAAAAAGCACACAAACTGCAAGCACCTGTAACCTACAACGCACCCTCTGTGAAGTACATGGGCATCTCCTCGACGATGATGGTCTGCTGATCGGGGTTCTGCTGGTTGACGTTGACCTCGGCGCCGATCGGCACCTCCACCTCCATCCACAGGCCGTCGTCCGTCTGTGAGCAGAGTGCACGGCATGGTTGAACCGGGGTGAGTAACAATCACCGCCACAGAAAATACCGTAAATGCACAGGGCAGAATACGTCTCACACTTAATAACTAAACCCGTTCTAAACATGTAAGCATCTTTGGCAAACAGAAGTAAAGTTCCATATAAAAGTTTCCATAGCACTTCTAAAGAATAATAATCAAACAATACCAGCTGCATAGCTGCAATACAGCAGAGCTAATCGCATCACTCTCCTCTTACCAAGGTTAAGCTCGTCCACAGCCTATACTAGCCCTGCCCTCTCCGCCCCCATTTCTCCCCCACTCCGTACGCACCTGCTGCAGCTCCCTGCGCGTGGCCTGCTGCACGACCGGCTCCGACTTCACCTTGACCTCATCAGGATCGGCGTACTTGAGGATGATGATCTGCTGACCGCCACTGGTGATGGTGCTGCCACCGCCGCCACCACCGCTGCCACCGCCGCCGCCGCCATTGGCCGTCACGTTCGAGACGTACTTCTGAATGGTCTCCTCGACGCTCTCGCCCGGAGCGTTTGTAACTTTGACCACCTGAGGGAGAGTGGGGAGGGTTAATAGATTGGGTGGGGACTGGGCCGAAAAAAAAACTTTAGAAACTGGCAGGTAAAATGGGACGGGGGTCGACACGGTGTGTTGGTTGGGTGGGGCAGTAAGAAGGTAACAGCGAATGACTTTCATACCTCATACATATTTAGACAAAAAAGTATAATTCCGAATTGTAGGGATGCAATGTAACAAAATCAGAGTTCGATGAAAAATATCAGTTATGATATCCGAGTTTGCGAACTCTAAAAGTAGATTCTCAAGTGAACACTTTTAGGACTGAGCTGTTCGCGAGTAGCGAGCAACCTTTTCTTAACCCGCACCGTGCAGGTGGCCTGCGTTTTCCGTGTTGTGTTGGGGGAAGGGGCGTTTTCACGCCCCCCCCCCCCCCCTCCCGTCCGACTGGGCTCCTGGGCCACGTAGCGACAATCACGGTTACAATTACACGGTAAGCGGCAATCGAAAGAGCGTCAAAAATAATGACGGGAACACTTCGGTCATTTTTAGATCAGGTCAAAGGTCAGTTCACCAGAGGTCATCAAAGGTCAAATTTAGTCAGTTTCGACAATTTTGGAACTGCCAACGGTTAACTCGGGAACCAATAGAGGCACTACAGCGCCGCGGAAAATCGCATTCGATAGCCCTTTTACAGACCTTTCTGAGCGTTGTCCTTAGATTTGACCTCAGGCAAACGGTTTGGCCTCCAGAAGGCAAAAACACTAAAAATAGCCGTTTTCACGAGAAACATTTTTTTTCGGTAATAACTTTTGGACTTAAGAGAGCCACGGCATTACTTTTGCCAGCATCGTGTTCCTCTCGTCGGGACGCGTCGAATGAACTACACGTTGACCTTGAAAGGTCATTTTGAAAATTTGACCTCAGGTCAAAGTCATGACCTGACTGGAAAGGTCATGCTGCATATCAGTCGATCCGTATCGTCGAGCTGAGCACATCCGACGTGTTTTCACCGCTCTAGCAAGTCTCTAAAAATTTATACCCAAAAAACTGTTAGTGACCGTTCATGTCCTGAGATGACCTCAGGGGCACACAGAGGGGTCACAGGGGCATTTTTTTTGGGGGGGGGGATTCAGTGTGACATGTTCACCTATGAACCGATGTTTGAGAGGGTTTCAATTTTCATCCATTGACGTGTAATGGAGAGTTCGCAAAATTGACTTGAACTTAGGTCATAGATATAAAACTATCCTTTGTTTGTTGGTTCCTTTGTTGTGAGTTAGGGGCGCGCCGACTGCGAGGTTATTTTGCGCCCAACCTAAAACTATCCGAGATATACATTCTATACATACTGGTACTCTTATCAATCGCTGAAAGTTTCAAAAAGATCGTTCAGTGGGTGTAGCTATAGCGAGCCTTGGAAATTTTTCTGATGTAAGGTCACTTGACGTGACCTGGTGACCTGTCCTCGAACGACCCGGGTCTGAAATTTTCACAACATGTGTGGGAAACGTTTTTGAGATATTCGTGAAAAAACCTGAAGGGGGGGGGGGCGTAAAAACGCCCCCTACCCCAGCATGGCGCGGGTTAACCCGGCAGTTGCTAGGGTATTTCGCCGCCCACCGTTTGCTGGGGGGGGGGGGGGGCGTTAAACGCCCCCAGCAAACGAAAGAACGCGACGAGACGCTTCAGATGAGTACTTAAAAGTTGAATTTTGAGGTCACAGGTCGGGTCAAGGTCAGGTCAAACACCTGAAATCGGGCTTTCAGTAGCATGGACTTCAGGACTTCGCAATGGGCGCCTCTCGTCATAAACTCTGTCAAAACGGTGCGCAATCCATCATATAAGGCCTACAAGAGTGTCAGCTCCATGTAGGGGTCAGTCAAGCATAGGTCAGGGTCAAGGTCAGGTCAATCCGGTAGGCACATATCCTCGAAAATCAAAACTGATATTCGCAGCCTGTGACACATGTTTTATGGGTAATTTGGGGCGTAGAACACGATGGTGACATTCATTTTATCATATGTGTACGTGTTTGGCTAAAAAAGTTCAATTTAAGAAATGCATGTATCATAGTCGTGAAGTAGTCACGAGAAATTGCCAAGATTCAGTTCAAGATTTTGGAAAATGCGGAACGATAATCAATAATCGAAGATAGCCATTTGATTGTTCATGGTATTGGGAGTCTAATGGCGTTTACAGCATGTCTGTATGTCTATTTTGTGATTTTATATGATTTTTTGAACATATGCCGTTTTTGGTTCTAAAACCTCGATATCTCAAAAATCTTCCGACCGATTTTTTTGAAACTTTGTCACAATAAACTTCAATCAATTCCCTACAGGTACCCAAAATTTGGCGCGCCTGCGGCGCGCCGTTTCGTTTTTATGCTATGGCCCAGCGAAAAAAGTGGGGGCGTTTAACGCCCCCCCCCCCCCCAGCAACTCGCGGGTTAAGGAAAAACTCGGCAAACAAATATCTAGAAAAAAAACTACGAGTTTCATCCTCCATGTGCCGTCAACCACGGACCGAGTTACGCGGCCTTATTGGGCTGTCACGCACTGTGGTTTTCAACTGCCGCCCGCGACAATAGCCGAGTTCAGTCATACTGTCTTAAAGGGACCCTCCCACCTTAACACGCGCAGTGGAAGGGGGGGCGGATTTCGCCCACCCCTCCTGTTTTTCGCCAATAACTCGCGCCGCAAGTACAATGTCAATGTGAAATTTCGGCTACCTGTCCAGAATTGAATAGCGGATCTTCTCGTGCAAAAAGTAAGAAAATCGGTTCACAACTTTTCTAGTAATAGCGGTGTAAAGTCAAACATCGTGCCGCCGCGGCGGCGCGGCGGCCGGCGCTAGCCGTTACGCGCCGCCTGAATTGTAGACTGTGCCGGGGCGGGACGGTTCCGTCTTTACATCGCGCTCCTTACCGCTGATTATTTTAGATTCGCGTCAAATTCGGTGAGAAGACTGAGAATTGTACAGGCAATCATATGGTCAAAGAATTTTGAAAATCGGCCGGTAACAACTTGAGTTATGAGTGTGTAAACACAAAATTGTGATTGCCGCGTTTCCCGCGTCGGCCGATGCCGCTTCAACCGGCGACATCTTACCCTTAGCAGGCTTCTAACTGCCATATTTATTGTTGGATTGTCTAGAAATTCACCATACATACTCACAAATGTTTGCTCTTTCGTATAGTGAAAGTTTTAAAAAAATCGGCCGGTAACTTTTTGAGTTATCGGCGTGTAAACGCAAAAAAGTCGCTAATATGGCAGATTTGACCACATTTGACCTCATTTGACCTTGAAGATATTGACCTAGGGTCACGAAATTCACACACAATAGAGTTCCCCATGGCCCCCACCTACCCTCCAAATTTCGTCGTTCTAGCTCCAGTGGGAGCTGAGATCTTAGGGGGGGGGGCGACATCCGCCCCCCCCCTTCCACTGGGCGTAGTACTCGCAACCCTTCCACTGCGCGTGTTAACATTAGATTTGAGTTAAGATAGCCAAAATGGGGTCCCTGGCTCACAATTACCGGTTTCGGCACTCACAACATCGAGAAATGCCTTAAATCGGAAATATTGAATTTCAAAATTGCAGCGTTTTGATTCAGAGGGGCTAATGCTAAGGAATACCCCTCTGAATGTGTGACGTCAGCGCAGATATCTAACGATTTTTAAATGTTTGACTAAAACGTTTTGTAGCACGCGGTCGTATATGCTATTTGCGCGCAACATCTGCCGCAAACGCCGCACTTCTAAAATAAAGTCGCTAGAAACAGCGGATATCCCAAAAAAGTAAACAAAAGTAAAAGTCTAATATCTTGAAAACCGGTGAATATTTTTCGGTGAAATTTGGTAGATATTCGTTTTCGCTCTTTCTGAACCGAGCGACATCACTTTCATGCCAATTCATAAACTTTTTTGAAGGTGGGAGGGTCCCTTTAAACGTGCTCAGTAGAAAGGCCGGAACTACCAGCTCCGTCAGGGCACTGTTCACTGAACAAGTACGACGTACTCGTAAGACCCTTAAGAAATCGGTACGAAAACTACGGCAAGTGGGAAAACTGCAAATAGCATAGTACCTAATCAAATCAGGGAAGGGAAATTTTTGCATACATTTCGTCCCTTGAGCTTGGAATGACTGGCGGAGCAGGCACTGAGTTTTCCGCCGGTGGCTTGGCTTCCCCGTCGCGGTCGGACGCTGGCATCACGCCAAATGCGGACGTTGCCCCGGGCAGGGGAGGGCTCAGAGAAAGTAAATAGTAAGCCGGACCAATACCCAACCACTGCTCGGCATCTGCCACATAAATTTGGGAGCAAGAGAACGAAACATGTCGATGAAAAGAAAGCACCGTTGCCTGCTATTGCGATAGGAAATAGATCACTGTCGCATCGAAAGAAAAGAATGAGACACTCACGGCAGAAAGTTCAATGGTGGAAATGAAACGATTAGAAACGAAATCCACGAGACGATACACACTTCGTAACGGAACAATATACAGAAGACGATTATGCCAATCATTCCTCATGCCATCACTTCACCAGATATCGCTCCCGCCGTCTGCACTGACACTATCGTCCACCCCGTCCGGCCCGGCACGTACCCTGAAGTTGGCGTTCTGCAGCACGGGCTTGCTGACGCCGCTGGCACCGGCCGTGTCCAGCGCAGAGCTCGACACGGCTGTGGACGGGGCCAGGGAGACCACGGCGCCGTCCAGCGGGACGTCCGGCTCGCCCGAGACACTGAGCTCGGTGGTCTCCTGCACCAGGTCGGCGGCCAGCGGCACGTCATCGGCCGCGCCCACCGCCACCGACGACGACGCACTGCCCACCAGGGTGATCTTCATGGCGGCCCACAGCCGGGGAGGCTACCACTGCTGCTGCTGCTGCTGCTGCTGCTGCTGCTGCTGCTGGAATGGGGGGGGGATGTAAGGAAGGATACTTTTGGGAGTTAGGACAGTTATTATCCTAGCATCTCAGAAAACAGCAGCATTGTTTCTCTAGTCAGCAATAACAGTTTTGAAAGCATGGGTGCTTGAATGTTATATAATTTAGAATAAACTGAAGCTTCAGGGTAGGTAATTCTGACTTTTGCAGATATTGTTGGGTACCTACTTCTCAGTGACTAGCAAAATCCAATCTAACAATATTGTGTCAGGTAGGTACAGGACCCAAAATTACTTAACAAGTAATAAAAGTATGTTAATTGTTTACAACAATTATGCAGTTTGACTTGGCAATTAAAAAAAAACTATATTATATAGGTATTTTCTTTATACACAGCACATTTGTAATAGAGCCTGAATATAAGTTGACTTGAATGTATCAATAGCACAAAAGTCTTATCTTGCCTTTATCTTGACTTAACTTAGATCTTATCTTCATCAGGCAGCCTTATGACATTTGATCAAACTGGGTGGCTGGTGGATTGCTACTGGTAACTTTTGATAACAATGATTACATTTGGAATATGGGCTTATTCAGTAGGTAGGTAATGATGCTTGGACATCCAGATTCATAACAACTGATACAAAGCATTGACCACCCTCTGAGACTACTGTTTACTGCAGTGCCTGTACAACTGAGTAACACTGAATGAGTAACCAAACAGGGAAAACTGCTTGGTTACTTTATCAGTGAAAATAATAGGCTGCACTGCCAGGAAACTGAAAAGCCCACTCTGCAATAAAGTATGATGTAATCCATGCCCATTCATTGAATATTTGATATTATCAATATGTGAATGAAATTGATAGGTAAGCCAGATTTTCTCAAAATTTATGACCTTATCAATAATTGTTCTGTTCTGCAAACAAACAAAAAAAAAAACAGAATCAATCCCTTACATACAGCAAGTGCTACAACAAGTAAAATTGATGAATGAATAATGATGAACCTAGATAAAAAAGCACACATGCTTGCACAATGCACACCAACCTGCTTTCAAATACTTATTCATTTTTCTCATCTTCATGAATGACCATTACAACTTATAATTATAACAATGGCACGAAAATTAACTATTAAAGATAGAAAACCAAAACATCTTCAATTAGCAATAGCGTGAGAAACAGCACAATATGCGGGTGGGATTGACCACCCGATGAGGATTCGTGTGATTTCATGGAATACACTCTGACTAAATATAGCTTAACAGCCTGCACCAAGTACAAGATTGTCAATATGTTCATTTTACACCCTGTTTATCTCACAAAATGGCAGCACCTCCTGGGGCATGACTGACCAGAGGAGCAGAGCTGGAGCCTTTGTCTTGTTGCAGTATGCATTGGCAGCAAATGGACAAATTACATGGCCTACATTGACCAAATATATTCATGACGCCCGTCCCATTTCAAAACATGTGCCCGTGGTGCGTTTTAGCCAGCGGACGACGGCGAACCGCAGTCAGACTACTACTGGTTCAGCTGTTGCCATTTTCAGCTGATGGGATGGGGGAGTGGTCGGTGGCGAATAACTAGAAAACCCGCTTCACTGCAGGCACACATGATAGATAAACGTAATCACAAGGACTTACTTTATCAAAACAGCCCACCGACGAAGAAATATCGTATCTTCAGGCCTCCTACGCATCAAATATGTCCGACGACGTACCGACAGAGCAAATAGTGATGACAGTTTGCACTGCATAAGAGTACAAACATGAGGATTCGCAAAAGTACTTGAGCTAGTCTGTCATGTTTATATCAGGTTTCCTACTCGAAGCTGCTAGTGAACCCATAATTTTTCAATTGCATAATATTTTGCTGCTTTTTGTTTCAAAAACTATTTAAATAAAACCATAACAAATAATAGAGATGGTGGTTATTTTACCCCAAGTACCTTCAAAGTACTGGCAACTTAGAGATGCAGAATTTGTGAATGAAAGGAATGAGAGGAGCACCTTCTTCATTTTTAATTTAATTCCAGCTGACACTTGATCGTATGAGTATAAATTGCGAGCAAAGAGTACATTTAAAATAAAACTCAAATAAGAATGATGGGTTTTTCATATCCGATCAGCCTCTTGTGATGATGGTGGTTGTAATCGAGGCACTCAGGCGAATCCAGCGCCCTCTCAACGCTCTCAACCTGCCTGGCTTGAAATAGAACGTGTATAGATGTCAGGCCAGTAGTCGATATGAGCGTGTTTTCGGGACTTGAGGACAGAAGTAGGTAGGTAATGGCAAAAGAAGCCAAGGTACGTATTTTCTGGCCACACCCAATTACCTTGAAAACTCAGAAAGTTTTAAAACGCAAACAAAGTAATCGAATTGAGCTAGGCTTTTCAGAGATAGTTTTCAGTTTAAGTAAAAATCATTGTTCTAACTTCTATCAGATCAACGTTGAGGTCAGTGGAGGTCACCAACGGCAAATTTTCCCGAAACCTTTTCCTCATTTAGATTTTTACAAATCTGTGTGCCTGTCACCCTTAATTCTCGCCGGCACAGGCCATTTTGCGTCCTTCGACGGCGTAAATGGGGGGGGGGTACGCCCCCATTGGGGTTGGTAGGTACGGGATGGTGCGACTCCCCCCCCCCCCTTGCGTTTGGCCCCTGATCGAGTAAGAGCTTCGCGAAAAAAACGAGCGTGTTGCTCGTGACGAGGGGAAGCAGATGATACCTGATTTTAAAGGGACCCTCCCACCTTCAAAAAAGTTAATGAATTGGCATAAAAGTGATGTAGCGTGAATCACAAAGAGCGAAAATGAACATCTACCAAATTTTACCGGAAAATATTCACCCGTTTTCGAGATATAAGACTTTTATTTTTGTTTACTTTTTGGGAAATCCGCTGTTTCTATGACGTCACATAAAGGTTTTCTTTACGTCGGCATTTGGAAGCAATAGTTCGGTATCAAAGTGCGACAAATATTGCGCGAATGATGCGTTTATCTTATCAAGGTCAATATATGATGGCCAATAAAGGATTCCAGGACAATTCTTATGGCATTTCTTCGTATCGCAATTCTTCGTCTGCAAATCTTCGTCAGGGCATTTATTCGTACCTATCGCATTACTTTGTCTCGCACCAGGGTATATGAAAATCGGCTCGCATTTCTTCTTCAACGCAAATATATGCAAGAGTAAGCATTGAGGGACAAATAAATGCACCGACGAAGATTTGTAGACGAAGAAATGCGGACGAAAAATTGTGCTACGAAGAAATGTCATGCGAGGATTCGTTCGGGTACCATAACATTTATGTGATTTCAAAGTCAAGGTTCACAGCTGATCTGCTAAATCAAGCCAAGAATCCAAACTATCAAAAAACTATAAATATTTGTTTGTCTGTCACAGAGGTCTCAAGCAATATAAGGTTGACATATGTTGAATCAAAAATCTACTGCCACAACTCACATCTCCTGCCTTAGTTTATCATTGTTGTTTTAACTTGCTTTCAAGAGAAACAGAAGCCAGTATCTGATATCACTTCAGATGATTGTTTCAAGATCTGAGTTCAAATGGAAATAAAAGCAAGATCAAGATGAAACAGGGATTATTGCTGTTAAAGTAGTTTGGCCATGATACAACAAGCACATAAATCATTAGCCAAATCAAATACTGGTTGGTTTGTCAAGATGTTTGTTGTCTGTCGTCTGTCGAGCTGCTATGAACACTGAACGCTCTCACTCTTACTTTAAAGAGAGTAGTTTAAGTTGAATGGTAGTGAGCTGTAATTAGACAAAGCAGCTATTCAGTGCTCACATCAAGCCAGGCTAGGAAATGGCATCAACTGTGGTGGGAGGAAGCAGGTTCGGCAGCCCTATGTTGTAAACTTCTGTTATGTCTTGTGTTTGATCAACTCATGTTTTCTGCTCTGTTTTGTGCAGTGATAGTAGCAGGTAACTGCATGCTTGTCAAATTATGTGAATAAACGAATTCATAACATTGCATTTTTCTCTCCATGCAAGGAACAAGTAAGATGTTGTAGAAAATGTAATAGAGGGCTGCATTGCTGATTTTGCACTTTATCAGAGCTTTATTTAGAATTGCTTTCCTGAAAGCTACACACAGGCCACAGTGCTGAAATTCACAATGTCATAGCTTTTGGCAGAAAAAAGAAAAGACTTACCTAGGTAAAATTGGCTGAAAGTATGGCAGAGCAGGTCTTGATGCGTATGCCCATCCGTGTGCTTGCCGAAGCCGAACTGACTGCAACACATTTAACTCTGACCCACCATGGTGGCTGGCATATCCTGAACTTTCACCACTCTAAACAAGACAACTTTCAGCCCTCAGCATTGTATTAAAACACTGCACAAAACACTCAAAATTTGTTTCAGTGCCATCCACGGACAACATCAGTCGCCATTCACCAGGCCAGTAAAAACAGAATAGATAATAGCTTCAAACCCATGTAGTCAGAGTTACTAGGTCTGCACCTCAAAACAAAATCCAGGTGACATTCACCACGCCAGTAAAAAACAGGTACTTAGGTAACGTAACAGCTTCAAATCTGGTAACATGTTGGTCGGACTTTACACTACCATATTTACATGGAATAATATGATACCAAACAATAGTGCAACCATTCTGGACAACAAAATTGTATGATAAAATTAATTTAGAATACTCTGGCAGCATGATTTACGAGCACAGGCAGGTGTTACCTACCAGCCTTCTCAATGCTCGTAAAACCAACATTGTAGTTTTGATTTTACCTTACATGATAACACACTTGGCTGCAATGGCACATTTAATTTAATACTGTGAAAAGTCCAGTTATAACCACTTCACAAGCACAATTGCACCTCATGCCGACATCCTTTTCCAAAGACAGTCAGCAGCGTCTTTCGTCAAAACTGGAAGATCAATCCCCTTTCAACTGTTAACATCAAAAATATTTCTTCATGGTGTGATCTCCTATGGAAACCTTGCGGGAAAAGAATTAATGTCAATTGTCAGCTCTTCAAATTTCTTTGGACTTTAACTTGCAGTACCATATCCAGTTTGCTTTGATATTTTGTTTTTTATTCCATGTTGAAGTTGAACACCAAGCTCCAGATATAGCAGGCAGCTTGATCATCTTCGGCCTTGGTATAATATCAGTCCAAGTTCCAGTGGTGGGTATCTTCTAATATTCAAATTAAAATGAAAAGCAATAGGCTTTCTCATCGCCGAGACGACGGATTTCACGTTGATAAGAAAGGGAGCTCAAGGTCAGCAAAACTCGGGTTCAAGGAATGGCGGGCGTTGAAATGACTGCTGACGTCATCAAAAAACCGCTAATGGTTAAGAGATAGGGACTAAGCTGGTCCCACCCTGCAAGTAAAGGGAAGAAATTTCTTGAACACCATAAAGCTGCGGGGGTTGCGACCAGGATAAATGGTGGTTTCTGAGCCTGGCCGCAAACTTGGCTATCTCAACTCAAAACTAATGTTAAGGTGGGATGGTCCTTAAACATCAGTAGGCATTTATTTCCTTTCAATGTAGCCGTTGCATTCTTTCTCCGGTCACCGCTCTTTCCAAGGTTACACATGGAAGTCGCTTCTGCCTATTTTGGTGCTCGTTCCGCGGGCGATGATAAGCTCACTTCATCAAGACTGGATGTCGAGACATGTGTTTTTGCGCCGTTTGTGGATTATTACGCGGTGGTTACCCGGGTTGCCGAGAGTCTGACACCCCGCAGGTAATCGGCAGACTGCAAGCTTCATTACGCGCTGCTCCTATAGCATCCAGCGACTGGCAGCACTTGCGAGTGGTGGGTATTTTGTTGGCTTCTTTCAGCGTCTTGGATCTGCAGTAATGGGAGCTGGGTGGGTATACCAGGGTTCGGTGGTAATCATTGTTGAGGATTCTCCCAGGCCGGGTGAGCGAGGACTGTAATAATGTGAGAAACCCCCAGGGAGCTAGTACAGCGGGGATCGTTTGATTAGACTTCAACATGGTGGAGTGATGTGCCATTTCCGTTCGTTGGCGATACCGTGATCCGCGGCGTATTTATGAAGTGTCTTGGTGCCGGTGGCGTCGATGTTTTTGCATTCTCTCTCGCTCTAAACCTCCTGCATGACAAGAGACATTCTTTGGCCCCTGGTTACACGTCCGACGCCAATGACAGTGCAAGAGTAATGGAAGCACTTTCAAACAGGGCGGCAGCTCGGCAAAGGAACGGGTAATTGCAAATGAGGTTTCCAGATCGGAGGTGGCTAATTATCGCTTGTTAGCGGCGCGCTGACTGGCGCTTCGGTGAGAGTGCCGCCGCCCGCCGCCGGGCCGCGGGCGGCAGTCCTTCACAGTTGTCTGCTGAACTCGCTCAGAGTCAGAGCTCTGCTTCCATTATCGCCAAGCGACTCTCCAATTTGTTGCAATTGCAGCCGGGCTTGTACGGATAATGGACGGCTTAACTGCTACAAACTAAAAGCAGTGCTCTGGAGTAGCCCATGTACAACGGCTCGCTTTGTTCCGGCTGTCCCATAGCTTCCAGTCGCTCTGTTTTTCAACCGGCCGCCGTTTGGTGTGTTCGAGCCTTCCGTGCTTTATCTGTCACGCCACGCTAAAAGGCTCGGGAGCTATGCGATACCGGGACAAAGAATAACATAAAATGTGGCGACGGCGCTGGGCCGCCGACCGGCCGCGCCGCGCCGCGCCGGGAGCGGTTGGGCTCCGACGGAGGGCAGGTGGGGGCCGCCGCGCGGCTCTGGAGGGTCGGCACCGGCCCCCGCTGGGCTGTGGGAGAGAGCCGGTGTGTCCAGTGTGCCGCAGCCGCCGGTTAAATGGCCCGCCGTGGGACCGGCCGCCGCACCGTGGGGACTTTTGCGATCCTAGCACGACATAAGTGGCAAATACGAGTATTTTGATTTCCACTTTCTTTATATTCTTTCTACGCAGAATTGTCCAGTGTATCCGAATCCGACCTTAAATCGCTTTAAAAATGATGACTTACACATCAAAATACGTCACAAAGTGAAGGGTTGCGCTGACTAGCACCGTGCTCCTAGGATAAGGCGAAAAATTACATGACAACGGAACGCCTGCTCACTCGTTTAATCAAGCACCAATCCGATGTTGCGACATGTTTTTATAATCTGTATTTAATGAGGAATACGAGCATATGCATGAAAAGTTCGAAAAATAATCCAAAGGTATGATTTTTGAATGAAATACAAAAAATGTTGATATGCCACTTGTCTCGGAGATTTGACTCAGCAAATCATAGCCTTACAAAGTGAGTTACGCGGTGTTACGTGTGGAAACACATATCAAAATATTCTCCCATAAATTCTGCATTGGAATCAATTCTTATCTTTTGCCCAATTTTGCCCAAACAGCTACTACGAGACATCAAAGCAGAAGATGTCGCGTGGCTCCCAGCGCTCCGCCGCGCTGCCCGGCGCCGCGGCGGTCAGCTGACTGCGGCGTACCGCCGCAGGAGTTACGCGTGGAAACACATATCAAAATATTCTCCCATAAATTCTGCATTGGAACCAACTCTTATCTTTTGCTCAATTTTGCCCAAACAGCTACTACGAGACATCAAAGCAGAAAATGTCGCGCGGCTCTCAGCGCTCCGCCGCGCTGCCCGGCGCCGCGGCGGTCAGCTGACTGCGGCGTGCCG